TGGAATAAAAGGTTCACAGGATTGTCAGAACAAAGACTTCCTAAGCGTAGGATGAGAGCAGTAGTTTTATTGTTTTTGTGAACTGGCAACGAACGAAGGAACGTAACAGCGAATTAATGATACTAGAAGAGTTAAGACAAAGAAAAAACTCACAAATGTTTTTACAGATCTTAGTGTAAACTCTTCTGCGACTTTTTCTTATAGACTAAATAGTGTAAAATATATAATAAATCTTTCTTTCATTACATATGATTGCAGTATCGTTAAAACTTTTTTTAATTTAACGAATCACACAACTTAATTTATATCATTATCATACTAACCAACCTAACCAACTGAATACATATAATAAAACAGATGTTCACCAAATAAAATAAAACAGATCAAGTTGTTGCCCCAAAGTCAGGTCCATCGGTATTCTACGATCGCGACGATATGTACATAAACTGCTTTATTTTGTCTTGTTTTTCGATTTTTTTGTCATTTCATGTGATTCTCTATCCACGTAGGAAGCTTAACGGTCTAATAAATCCATAGTGAACGAGAGAAGAGCCGTCACATCTAATCCAAAAGGCCATTATTCCTTGACATGTTGATACATCACTCTTTGCGGTATAACAGCCGTTTATCAATGGAATTGGACACCCCATGTTGAGGGAACACCGACTTTCAGTCATTTTCAAATCAATTGTGATGATCAGCAGTAAATAATTCCAAAAACAATAGAGGTTTGGGCCATTCTTACTTTGTGGTAATACATGCTGTCGAAATAAAATAAACAGAATTTACAAAAAAAAAAGAAATCAAACAATATTTTTTTGAGAAATGATAATTCAAAATTGAGGTCATATAACAGCAAATCTATTATTCATAAAGTCAATAATGTAATGTCAGTAATGTCGTCGTGTGCAAGTAAATCGGTAGGATAGATACACTTAGACAAGAATCCTAGTAACGCACGAGAACGACAAGGTCCCAAATCTTACGTAGCCGAATATTTCTATTTTAAATTTCTTTTTAAATTAAGAACCTAATAACTTTCTGTTTGATGATTATCCTCTATTATTTTAAAATTGCTCCAATACAGTATAGTATGGCTTCCCTCTCCCACGGCTACGTTTTTTTGCGAGCTATTATTAGCTGTATAACTAATAGTCTATCACACATGTGGTCTGTTGACTCTATTGTTGGTTTATAAGCCTCACACATCAAGCAGTACAATTTAGTATTACTTTCGTAGTCTTATCATTGGACTATTTTTTTTTATAGAAGATACTTGCTACGTAATACATATCTTTATCAGTATTCAAGTAGCTCGGTGGCGTAGTGGATAAGCGCCGTGGCCCGCGATCGTAGTCGTTAAGCAACTTTCGCAAGGGTCGGTCGCGGGATGGGTGACCAAAAAATTATTATCTCGAGCTACTCCGTGCTTCGGAAGGCACATTAAGCCGTTGGTCCCGGCTGCATTTGCAGTCGTTAATACCCTCCAATCCGCATTGGGCCAACGTGGAGGGTCATGGCCCATCCTCTTTAACCATCCATAGGGAAGGCCTGAGCCCCTGCAGTGGGGACGTAAAAGGGCTGGTGGTGGTGGTGGTGGTGGTAGTGATTCAATCAGCAGTTCCTGTTTACTTAAAACGTAAAATTTTATTTAAAACGTAAAAATTCGTTTGGTTAGACTTTTTATGTCATCCCTTTTGAGAAGTTATGTCATTACGGAGAGAGCACCTCTGAAATCGCCTCTCCTATTAGCTGTCCAACCTACCCCTTTCATTTTTAATAGGTGGAAACAATACACAGACATTACTTTTATCACTTTTCCATTTTCTCCAACTATATAATTCATTGTTTACCAGAAAGTTGATTTTACGATAGATTCACAGTTGAAGCCTTTTGAGCCACCTTTGGACATATTTTCTACCTACGTAAATATAACCTGTATTCGGAAGTAACTATAAATAATATAAGAATTTTCTTTAAAGACAAGATTCACAAACACCACTACCTGAAAAAATACAAAAACGATATCATTAATTCGTTAAAATCATATTTATCTATTAGTCAGAAGGTCCTTTTCACAATTGTTATACTTATATTAGCACATGCTAATAACAGTCGCTTATTAGTACCTACAAATAAAAGTACAAAAGATTTCACAAAATTGAAAAATTTCTCCAATTGATTTAAAACCTACATTTGTTAAAAGTTAATCTCAAAATCGCTTGTAGGAAGTTAACATTATGTGTTAAATTGATGTGCTACTGTCCGTATAAGAAAACTGACACGTCGAGATGTGTAGTGGTTCCATATCCTGCGGTGTAACCTATCCGTGCACCTGCGGATCCCGTGGGAATGATATCTAATGATGTCTTGGTTCCGCAAGAACTTGATACTGAGACAGATACTCAGTATATTACTGTGTCTATAAACGTTAAAAGGATATTTAATAATATTTTTTTAATACATATACTAACTAGCGTTATAGTTCCGCCAATTGATATCGCATTGAAAATTCATTCTGGCAATTCTGATTTGTACACTTTTAGTACATAAAATAATCCTGATATCTTAAAAGTTTAGGAACCCCAAATCTAGTGCAAATTGAATTCACATCGAAACGTATTGGAAATCTTAATTCTTTTACTAAGTGCAGAGATCATTTGTCTCTGATACCATTTCTAATTGTATTCTATAATATTTGTGTTTAATAGTACTGTATCTCGTGAATTACACTCACGACTTTACGACTATTACACAATTAATGTAAGTATATCCCAAAAAAGATTTTAAAAGTGTTATTTCTTTTCAGCTTAATTATAGCGATGATATTATATAAACAATGCAAAAACCCTGAGAAACATGAACGTGACACGAAGTCGCTTACACAATATCCCGTCAAAACTTAATACCAGATTCTGAATAAATTTTGCACAATCATGGGATAACTGACTGACTTCCCGTCTTTCATGTGAAGAATTTCCTTATAAAAACTAGCACTTATCCCTGGAATTTTATTATTTCAAATGTGGGAAGCATCTGCCATTTGATAGATAATGAGAATTGAATATTTGCTATTGATTTCTAATTAAACGATAGTAGCTCCACTTTGTGCGATGTCTAAAAACGAGCTAATTGCTTCTTGTGCATTGTTTTGTGTAAAAAACTATATTGCAAAATATAGTTTGTTAGAGAAAACTTATGATTACATACCAAAGTTTAGTAGTAAATACGGAATTTTTGATACACTGTTTTACAATGATATTTATGTTTCAATGTCCAGAATTGGTTTCACTATGTATAGGTCAATTTGCTATTAGTTTTGTCGTTTTTTTAATTCAGTTACAGTTTTTATGTGAGCATGTGTATAAATAAGCATGTGAAAGAAATGTTTGATTTTCAATATTTAAGAATATTGTAACTACACATTTGAAAATACTGTGAAAGGCATGACAAAATTTGTATAGTTTGCACAAAAATGTCGGTTATGCTATTTTTTTTTGTTTTCTCCCTTATTATATAAATGATATTGCTTCATTTAGTTTACTGCCAGTGTTTTTGTAATGTGAATTTATGCTAAAAAGTGTGGTTTTCTTTTTTTTTCGTTTTCAATTGTCGAGCTATTTGTCTCAATTATTCTTTTTCTTCACAGATGACGAAGGAGGTCACATAAAACAAGGCTATGAATCGCGAAGACAGAATGACTTGTACATGCGTCTTGGTCTTCTGCTCGGGGAGAGAAGGAGTGGAAGGAATAAAGCTCGTGACAGCTGCACGTCTCTGGCGTCACTTGATGCGCACACGCTTGCTTCACACAATACTAGTCCGGTTTGTACATATTTAAATCGTGCTAAAATTGCTAACCTCAATAATACGTGTGATGTTATTGTGTGGTTCTACAGAAATTCTACTGGTGATGGCAACTATATTGAAGCTAAATTCTCTCTCCAAGAGAGTTCTTTTAAGCAAACGTCGGTGTGGGATAGAAGTTGTGTTTTTAATTAGTAAAGTACTAAGTAAACTTAATATGGGCAATGCAGGCTACTAGGCAACATCTAATAACAGCTGTAGTCGTCGAAGTTATATACTCACTAATATTAGTTGTCTTTAAAGCCTTGAAATAATATATTGCTAATTCGGGAGGTGCCTCTAATCTTGTGTTCAAATTATAAGATTACTATTCATTGTATTCGAGGCAATATTTGATATATCATCATCGTGTTCTCTTAGTTTACGGTATTACGTTAAGTTAGATCAGGAAAGACAAGGACATAGTCCATGATCTATCGAATATCGATGCCTGATTACATTAGCATGGCAATGGCACTGCATTATACTGTGTTAGATTATTGCCTGTAACTGATACCAGGATAAAGTGAGTTCATACCAAACAGTCCATCAAGTCCCCTCAAATCTCATCAGTTTCGTTCACATTGCCTCGTACAAAGCCGCGAGTACTTTTAGCCGCCAAAAGTGTCAAAGTCAATGCATATACGATGCGACGACAGAGCCTGTCAATCTAGAATAAGCTTCGTCAATCTGGATTGACAGGCTCTGTCAGTTGAATCAAAAGAAAAGTCAATATTGACGTCATCAATGTAACCTAAAAATCACCTCATATTATATTTTTGCCAGGTCTCAACACTTACCGGATCATCGGAAGTTGAAGCAGCTACTCACCTTGGTAGAGATTCCTTGGGATCTCTAGCTTCCATGTCACTATCTGCAGCCAGCAACTGCTCTTCTTCCAGTCCTGGCAGTAGAAGACATTCTGTTAATAGTAAATATTGTTAATTATTTATTTTGACAACAATTGAGTTTCCTTGTTTCGTGATGCCACTATCCTTGCAGCAGGCTTATCTTTTGATAAACTGGGTCAATCAGGAATAAGCTTTTTTATTCATATATTCGATCTAGGCGGTCGGAGTACTTTGCTCTTCTGATTCCCATGATATTTGTCTTCAAGCTATTGAGTACGGAATTTTATTTTCGAAATGTAATAATATCTTAACGTACAAAGTTAAATTATTCCATAAGTAGTTCTGATTAACAATACAACTCAGTTGAAAATTAACGTGTAAATAAAGCAGAGAATACGAAAGGTTTGCAATTAATCTTGCTTTTGTTTGGATTACAGCTTTACAAAGCAATAGATCGGAAGAGTTGACGCGGATGTCTAGTGGTTTCTTCAAGACCCGAAAAACTGCAGCGAGAAGGTCGGCGAGAGTTAATAGTAAACAATCATCATCTTCGTCTGAAATCAAGAAAGGTATTTACAAAACTCTTTTTAATACAAAGATAAGCGTATGTGTATTTAAATAATAAATGTAATATGTAATAATGTTCTTACATTTATACCTTATAACCATAATGTTTTCAAAACTCGAAGCATTCTCAATAAATATATGTTGCGATTTTTTTTGCGGAAATTTCTGATCTTTGTTTTGAATCAGAAATCATAATAAAACTATAATATGAGTCTACAATTAACATCGTTAAGACCAAATTACCAATGATCCTTCACTTACATACGAAGTGACACAAGGCCTAGTTAAGGCTAGACATCGTCCTTATCAGATTATTGTAACGAACCAAGTTAACATACTGCATAATTTTGCGTAAATTCAACTTGTTTACGTGAGTTGAGGTGAGATTGCGAAATTTTAAACGGCCACATTTATAAGAAATGTATAATGTCGCACAGTTACATGACGGTTTGTGTCAAGAATAATGACTGGTTGAATAAATGACCCGTGATAATTGGAGAAAAAAACTCAATAAAAATAAAATATTAAGCTTCAAGAGAGTACATTAATTCTGTTCTGATGAAACAAAGACAACCTTAATGAATTTCTAAGTTTTATTAGATCAAATAAGAAGAATTATGAAACGTAATATTCCTCGATATTAATATATCATCCGAAATGATAAATTATTCTTCTGAAATCAAAAGAGCCCATTAAATTAATATCAATAATCCTTTATTTCCAGTACATCCATCGCCTCAACTCACTCTGCGACCGCTGTTCTTTGAAGTTCCTTCATCAGATGGACAAAATTTGTTTTCTGGGCGTCAGTGGCTCATGAAGGATATGGGAAAAGCATTAGATTCTAGTGCATCTGGTAAGTCAAAATAAACACCAAAAACACATAAGTTGTAATCCTAAAGAATAATATCGCGAATATCCAAGTCTCGCACCAATCAACTAACTTATTTAACGAGCATACTAATTACCTACTGCAGTGTAGGTCAAATGGCATATATAACTGCAAGCGAAAATAAAATACATTCATTAACCACCGCTAACATGAAAATAAGCCGATAGTGAGAAAACTCGACATTATCATTAAATTGTCGCAAATGGTGAAGAACTGGTAATCGGATAGGTATCTAATGACTGTCAATAGATTACATGTTTATAACTGGTTTATTAATTTCAGGTATATTGATCTCAGGCTGCCCAGGTACAGGTAAAACGGCTTTGATTCTTCAACTGGTGGAATTCTCCTGCTTCGGGCGGAAGAGAAATTACGAGTATGAGGAACTTAGAGAACAATCAGACATAAGGGAGCTTTTACCTGAAGAATTAACAGCTGGGATGCTTACCCACTTAGCATCACACGTCGTTGCTTACCATTTTTGTCAAGTGAGGAAATTGCTAATCTTACATAATATATCTTAGTATGTATTTCTTAAATTATGTCAAAGAATGATTCATTGTTTACTGACCTTCATGTTAATTTCAATAATGAGATGGTTTGCTTTAATCATTTAAGATTTGATATCATCACGTTTCTTCCCTTGTTTTTGTTTTTAAAGAAAATATTTTTTTAAATTTCAGGCCGATAACAATAGTACTTGCCTGGTGGGTGAATTCGTTCATTCTCTCGCTGCTCAACTCTGTCAAGCTCCCAGACTATTAGCCTACAGGGAATACTTACTGAGCGAACCGCATTTATTAGCTTGTTTGTCATTAAAAGAGTGTATCGCAGATCCAGACTTAGCTTTTATGAGAGGAATAATAGAACCTTTGAATATATTGAGAAAAAATGAGAGCATAGATTCTGGTAACAGTATAATACTTGTAGACGGTCTTTGCGAAGCAGAATATCATAGACCTGATCACGGATACACAATTGCTTCGTTTCTAGCAAGACATGTACCAGAAATGCCTTCGTGGCTCAAAGTTATAGCTACAGTAAGAACACATTTCCTCGAACTTACAAAACAGCTACCGTATTCTAGGCTAAGCCTTGACGAATCTGATAATGTTAATAAAGACTTGTTGGAATATTTCAATGCTAGAGTACAAGCTGCACCTATTATAGAAACGAACATAAAATGCTCTACAGGGAAATCGGAAGGAGTTCACAATTCTGTATTAAAATTTGCACAATACGTGCTACACCTGAGCCAAGGCTCGTTCCTGTTCCTGAAATTAATATTAGATTTATTAGAAAGAAGTCATATTGTTGTGAAATCGACGAACTACAAAGTGGTGCCTATATCATTGGCTCAAATATTTTTGCTCCAGTTCAACTTAAGATTTCCAACGATACAGTCGTTTGAAAAAATCACTCACATTTTGAGTGTATGTTTAGCTGCTCTCTATCCGTTGACACTAGTTGAGATTTACTATTCGGTGAACTCTTTATTAGTTAACACTTTTCTCCCTTGGGAAGAATTTTGTGATAGATTCGAAAGCCTTTCCGACTTCCTAATAAAGAGAATCGATAACACATACATGTTTTTCCATCCTTCGTTCAGGGAGTGGCTTATACGTCGAGATGACAACGAGAGCTCAAAATTTCTCTGTGATTTGAGGGCTGGCCATTGCGGCATTGCATATAGATTATCAAGAGTACAAGCTCCCCTAGATTCTGAAAAGACAATGGAATTGGGTCATCACATATTAAAAGCTCATATGTATAGGAATTTAGGTCCAGCACAACTCGGTTTATGTCCGAGGGATTTGCAAGCTATGATGGTAGCGACTAGCTCTGCTAGCGTCGGGGAAGCTATTGCTAATCTAAGAAATATATATACGCCTAATGTGAAAGTGTCTAGATTGATGTTGCTAGCTGGTGGTTCACCTAATCAGATTACGGATTGTCTCGGAAACGCACCTTTATTGTGTATGTACGCATATCAAGGCATTCTGTCTATGGTTGGACTGTTGATCGAGTTTGGAGCTGATCTTGAAATGACGAACTCGCAAGGTTGCACAGCTCTATCTTTGGCGTGTCAAAGGGGTCATACTGATGTTGCGAGGAGACTTATTGCTGCAGGTAATGTTAATTCATATTGATTTAACTAGTTACACGATAGAATTTAGACAAGTCTACAACAACAGTGTCTAGAGAGAGTACACAATACTAAAATCTCGGGTAGAAACTTAAGTTTATATACCACATCCTGATATACAAACAAATTATAATGGGAAGGAAAGGAGATATATCCCTATGAAAACTGTGATTGCAATCCTGACTCTTTGGTTTCGAGGCGGTTCTAATATCTGAGATCCTGGATTCGATTACATTTCTCCGGTCTGGATATCGTGGCACCTCTCTTTGTTTCAAATCTCCATAATACAAGAACTTTAGCTACTTTGTTTATGATCTGATATTTTTTTATACATATTATTTTCATTGTTTATTAGGTGCATCTCTCAGTCACACGGACACGGCGGAGCAGACGCCGCTGGTGCACGCGGCCAAGAACGGCCACCGCGACACCGTGATGTACCTGCTCGGCTGCCAGCTGCACCACCTGCTGCCCGGCGCGCGCCACGCGCTCGTCGCCGCCGCCCACAACGGACACCTCGACATCGTCGACTACCTGCTCGACACTGCCGAGTTGATAGTAAGTAATGGTTGGAGTATGTCGGCTCGCGATCGTTGTTTTTCGCAATAACCGATCACGGGATGGGTGACCGGAAAGATATTATGTCGAATTACACCGTGCTTCGGTAGGCACGTTAAACCGTTTCTCCTGGCTGCAGTTGCAGTCGTTAATACTCTCCAATTCGCATTGGGCCAGCGTGGAGAGTCATGGCCCATCCTCCTTAACCATCCTTAAAGAAGGCCTGAGCCCCTATAGTGAAGACGTAAAACGGCTGATGATGATGAAGATGAGCTGATTTAAATATTATTAAGTAGATAAGAATGTGTGAACACTTAATAAATAATAAGTTAAAATTTTATTCAACTCAAACTCATAAGTAGTAAAATTTTAAGTGATTAAGTACGTGTAAACTACTATATCATCTAGTACTATGTCTATATCTATATCTTTATTCCCTCTTTAATTGCTAGGTAGGTAGGCAAAAAACACCGAGCGCCACAAAGCTTATTCCTTGCGTCTCCTTCCTTAACTTTCATGCATGCTAGACGATTTGTATGAATTCTCATAATATCTTCCAGCGGCTTAAGATTGATAGAGAAAAATAAATCTTTGCCATTCGCGGCTTCTACGTCCTTACACTTTTGCGTTCTATATCAGTTTCAGTAATTTTATCAAAGCACTCTTTTCACATGTCTAAGCGAATGTTACCTAATTTTGTTAATTTTAACATTTAGCATTTAGCTTAACTATATTATCTAGACTGCATTTAATCTACTTGATGATCTGTCTGGCATGCCCAACTCTCGCTTTCATAGAATACATGAACGTTAGGATTAGCACCATATTGTGTATAGCGCGCTGCGTGTACATTCTAGTCCAAGGTTTTAATGCTAAGAAATTTTCCCAACACTCCACTTCCAATGTTCCCAATATTAATATGTCAGCAGTGTACCTTCCATCGTCATTAAAAGCCAAAAAAAATATTTGGCGAGGTATGTACGCAATAACATCAATCGAGTGAACTGGCGATATATAAAAATCCTTTAATTTTTTCCAGCCTGACGGTATCTGTCCAGTAACAGGCGAGACAGCCCTTACAGCCGCTTGTTCATCTGGTAATGCTGCAATCGCCGACGCGCTACTAGTGCGAGGTGCCACTCCATATTCATTGAATGCCAGACAGATGTCGCCACTAGCACTCGCTGCGAAGAACGGACGGACTGCCCTAGTGCTTAGACTGTTAGACTCCGGAGCGGATGTTATGGGCACCGAAGGAAAAAATCCACTAGTTTTGGCTGCTGCCGAGGGACATGCCGACGTCGTAGAGATGCTATTAAATCATGGTAAGTTAGCTTTTTTGATGATCTGATGGATGATGGTTATTAAAGTGTGATCTTTAATGATCCAATTTATAAATTCACCAATTTTAAAAATAACAATTTTATACCATTTTTTTAATTTTTCAATAAGGAATCGTAGATGTTTTACATTGCTCAATCGAGACAGGCATAATAATCAAAGTAATATGTCTATCTATCCCAATTCTTCAAAATTTCTCCATGATCACTTCAATGTTCTTGACTAGTATCAAATACTAGTCAAGAATATTATGTAGGTATGGCGAATTAAATTTTTAACTATGAAATATAATTTTGTTTAGGTGCTGATCCAGATGCTGTGGATGCTGATGGTGTTTCGGCGTTGGGCTGGGCGTGTTTAAGATCTAGAATTACAACGATGGTTATGTTACTTGATAGAGGAGCTACTGTTGGTAAGTTTTATGATATTACTCACTCGCTAAAATTATTATTACATCAATCATGAATTTTATGAAAATTTGTTGTGTAGTTTAAAAGATCTCGACAGAATGCGAATTTGGTTTATACTATATATAGATATAGAATAATTTAAATTTGAAACGATAACTAAAATAAAAAAAGTATCTAGGCAAAATAAATTTTTGTATCTTTTTAGATCAACCTGATCGAAGTGGAAGAACTCCTCTTGGTCTCGCATGTGGTGGGCCAGTGGATTTGGTTGAGATTCTGCTGGAACGAGGAGCTTCCTTAGAAAAAGTCGACAATAGCGGATTAAGGCCCCTGGACAGGGCTATTGGACAACGAAATGTTCACGTGAGTAACATATCTTTATTGACGCCTTTAATAATTTATAAATTATTATACTCGTTTAATTTTGAATTCATTACATGGTGATATATTTTTGTTTTACTCAAAATTCTAGGTCGTCAACTGCTTTTTAAGAAAAGGAGCCAAACTAGGCCCAACCACATGGGTTATGGCGTCAGGCAAACCAGAATTTATGTAAGTATTTTCACTTTTGTTTGTTTTTTCTTTCAAATAATTTATTTTATAATTCGTAAAAAAGAAACTAATTAGTTACACATTAAATGTGTAACTGTTTAGTTTCGTGTTCATTTGAAATTGTTTATTAACTCGTGTCAACTCTTCTCTTTCTAAAGAAATTAAAGATCCATTATATTTCTTCACGGCTTCGCTTACTACTTTCCAGGCTGATCCTACTAAACAAGTTGTTAGAAGACGGAAATATGCTTTACCGCAAGAATCGACCTTCGGAAGCCGCTCACCGCTATCAATACGCCTTGAAGAAGATCAACACTCTCATTAACGACGAAGGTCTGACAGCATCCGGCAGTCAACCGGTACCGCACGAACATTTATCATCTTTTGTGCAACTGAAAACACATCTGCTGCTCAACTTATCGAGATGTAAAAGGAAACTAAACGTAAGTACGGCTTTGAATAGATAAAAACATAATAATTCTTGATATCTACATCATGAAAATCAACAAAGAATGCAAGAAAGAAACGATTTTCATTTTACTATTTCTATAGTTCATGGTCTACGCTTTTAATAAGCAAGTGAAGTACTTACAAATCTATCTGTTTTATTTGTGACTAGAGGTCATATGCCAGTTTCAAGGTCTCACCATCTGCGGTCCCGATTTCAATAAAAACAAACGAATTAGGTCAATGTCGACGGACTTTTATATTGTCTCGGATATTGTGGGTATGGGGTAATTTAGTTTGGAGTCTAAATACAAAATGTGATATATAGCATTTTTTTATTATGTTACAGGAACCGTCAGAAGCATTGGACTTAGCAGCCCGCGCTTCAGTATTACGACCGAACGCATTCGAATGTGCATACGCTATGGCGAGAGCGATACTTGCACTTAACAAACCCTCCGAAGCACTTCCTCATGCCAGGAGAGCGCTCCTCCTCGCTCCTACCACCGATTTTGCAGCTGTTAGGACACTAAAGGCTTTACAACAGGAGATTCTCACAAGGATCAACGTTGGGGCCCATAGTTTAAATGGAGACAATAGATCAATGAGAAATTTTGACACGATCAGTCTCAATATGCCGTAAGAGCCTTAAAATAATAGCTTTACAATAATGTATATTTTTCCCGCCTTATTTTTAGTGTTATTTTATGCAGTAGCAGAAAGTTTTCGTGAAATGCTAAAACTATGAACCTTCATCAATTAAATATACAAAATTTGCTATAAAAATGGTTAAGAATTCAAAGAGACATTTGAATATTTAGTTGTTGAAAAAGAACTTTTCAAAGTACACTTTATTCCTAAGGCAGGTGAAAAATAATGCTCACATAATAATTTGTTTCAAAGCCTATTTTTTCGCCTGCCCTAAGTATGTATACGTAAAGTAACTTCTACAATAAATTGTTTGTACTATGATGTATTTCTTATTGTATACTTTTACATATTTGTTGTAGATAGTGATATATTTAATGTAATGATAAAACATTGACTTTATGTAAATAATTTTGATCCTACATATATCACTGTGAGTGTACAGTATAACTTTAGAGTAAGTCTCGAATACGTTTATCTTTATTATGTTTTATAATGCTTGCCATTTATATATTTTTGGATGCTTTAATTTTTTTGTTAAAAATTTAAAAATGTACCTCTTTCTATCAATAGATTGACTATTCAATTGGTGCCTTTTTTTATTCAAATAGATAATAGAAAAAAATGCAATTTAAGTTAACCTAAAGTTTGTTGTTTTATTTAAGTTAATTTTGAGTTAAACTCGTATGCCCATACACTTGCTTCTATTTTAATTTATTGAAAATTATGATTACGCATTATTTAAACTAAAATATGTTTATGAAAATTTGACTTTTGTGCGTTTTTGTATGTGCGAAATGTAATAATTATGTAAAGGATCTATTTATTTAATATTTTCATTAAAATATATGATATAAAATGTTTTTGCCATTGTAATAAATGCGATATGATTGATGATGATATTAAAAGAATATGCGATATCTACTTCAAAATAATAAGGCTGGCTATTTTTATAGCTTGAGGCTGGTCTGTATTTCGACTGGTTTAAAATTTATAAATATATTATCTGAAAAATAAACTTCTAATTTCATAAATAATGTTCAAAATATATATATTGAAGACTGACAGTAAAATAAAAATTGGTGAAATAATCAGATAATAGGTACGTTTATAAAAGTGTAGACGGTTAAGAAAATTATAAGTACAATAATAGCTAATATGACAGTACATAATTTTAATGATTAAGTATCTGAATAAAATATACATATTGCTTGAAAGTTTTCTTTTTGTTTTATTTATTTGTCTTAACTTATATTTATACGGAGGACGGAATTTACTGATTGTTTGTTTGTTTACATTTTATAGAGTCCGAAACTAAAGGACCGATTTAAAAAATCATTTCACCCACTATAACTATATAATAACGAGCGAAGTCTTTTTAAACCAGATAACAGAATATGTAATAAATAAACAAAGTGAACAAATTAAGTAACTCGAATAAATACTATAATCTCTTCAAATAAACACATCCTGAAAAGTTTAAGCTACTCGCCACAAGATGGTGCGAGTGGTTTAGTGCCATCTTTACTCTTAAATAAGTACCAGGCTCACATAAATCAGTAAGAAGTTATTGTTATAAGTCCGACGCATTGACACGAATACTGAGAAGTCAGGAAGATGTACTTTTTGATTTTCAGTAAACTCTTACTAGAACATCAGTCCATGCTAGAATTCACGGAATATCAGGATCACATAACTCTGTAGAAAGTAAATATTTTACAACAGTTCATTCAGCCATACTCGACAGAAGCTTTATTATGAAATTGTCACGGATTTGGAATAAACGTCTTGCTTTGGATTATAATTTCTACGTGTTTTCTATAGAGAGGGAAAACAAGCATTAAAAATACAACCGTTTAAAAAGGTGACTAATTAGTGGGTCATAATTAGTGGTGGTTAGTCCACGCGACTGGAAACTCAAAACATTTATTTTATGCGTAAGACTTATGAAACTTATGTGATCTTGGTATTTATATAATACCAAGATCACATAAGTCTTTAGAAAGTAATAAGTCTTTAGGACAGTTATACACAGTTTCAACTACTGGAAATCAGATGATGCAATTTTTAAATTTTAATAACCTTTTTATATTTACTTGTTAATGATATCAGAATTCAGTCTGATTCAGTAGTGATCAATTGATTGAGTTCAATTTTCATAACACTGTTGGCGACATAAAATTAAATATTAAGATTTATATTTCTTTGGCTGACTACTTTCGCTTTCTTTCCATGGCGCGGCCATTACGTGTACATGTAAGAAAAATTAATTAAATAACATTTACTTCATAAATGTGTTTTTTGGAACTCAGCGCCTTACAACAGTCACCTAAACAAAGTGCTAAGAAACAACACTCTTACAATACCTGACCTGTATTTAACCATCGTTTTTAGAAAACAAAAGAAAACACATTTTTTCCATAAAAAAACTCTTCTGTCAAGGAGCCGTTTTATGAAATGCCTACTACCTAGGACAATAATTTATATCTCACATTAAAGTGCATAAACAATTTTTATTATTAATTACCCACCTCTATTATTTAAAGTTAATAAAATATCATTTTTTCGAACAAAATGTTTCATTAACGATCAATGATTTAATCATAGACTCGACTTATTTTGATTACAAACTTTTTTACATTTGTATAAGGAACAGTGTTAATAACTTTATACTAACAATTAGAGTATTGCATTGCGATTATTTTAGACCAATACACTATGAATTTTAGTTCTATATTTAAATTGATATAAGCCAACTACTAAGCGCAGCATTACCGACGCTTTCAGAAGACGGTTTGAGAGACTAGAACAATATTACCAGGATGACATAAGGTATAGATAGGTAAATTTTTATTTTACAACAGCTAGACATTTCAGCTACTCGACGATAGGTGACGTAGTGCGAATATTTTACGATAGTGCGTTTGGATTGTTAATTCAGTTTTAGCATGAAAGTACCAAGCTCACATATATCGGTAGGAGGTTATGATTTATTTAAATCAAAGTGTGGTGTCTATTATTCTTTTTAGACGCGCTCTTTAGCTTGTTTATACTCTAAGGGTGGCCTTTTGCTGTTTTTACTACTATCTATAGATAATACAGAAATACGGGTCCTACCATAGATTTATTATTTTTAGGTACTATGTCTATTATCCTTTTTAGACGCGCTCTTTAGCTTGTTTATATATATTGTAAGGGTGGTATCTTATGCTGTTTTTACTACTATCTATAGACAATACAGAAATACTGGTACTACCATAGATTTATTATTTTTAGGTACTACTATCTCCCAGAGTAAAAATCTGCGAGAAGTTTAGCGGTATTTTTTCCCATAACCTATGATGATAATAATAAATAAGTATAATTGAGATAAAAAATGAAAAAAAAGGAGCTTTTTCTGGAAACGCTTCGTCGGATTTTTGGACCCTCGATAGTCTTGATATTTTTTTTATTTTATTTGATTGTTCTGGTGTAATCCAAACATACATAGACATGTATGTTTGGATTACACCAGAGATATCAAATTTTCAGGATGTTATCCCAATAACGAACATACGAAGTTTTAATAGCATAGCTAATACCTTTGCTTTTCTTGATATCGAAAAAACCCCGATTTCGATACTTATACACTCACTCAGTGACGATCATCGAAACTTTTTTTTTTAACATCCTGAAGTTATAGAAAAATGAAATTTGTAATGTAAGATAGTATCAGTACACAAACAACAGGAAAAATAATATTGATCCTAGAGGTCTGAAAATTGATATAGGAACTCCTGGTTATAAATAATAAAACGTATTTCAGGATTTTTCGCAAATCACCTCTAATGATTTGAATTAGGGGAGAATAGTTTGTATGCGTATGCCCATAAAAACTTATTTTCATGCTAGTAAGCTTATTATGTTTACTAATATTATAAGTGTACTGGAAATAATGTTCGTTCGTCCTTGCTTGACACCGGAATGAAGTACTGTTATAGTAATAGTAAAAATTTTGTTTTAATATGATAATTAGAACATCGAGTGACATCGGCTATTTTTTACAGCGAAAAGATCTTATCTCTATGAGAAGATACGTTCCTCCCTAATACGCAAGATATCCCCTATACTAATAGTGACCTATTACATAGTAAAAATTGATTAGTGGTGAGATTTGTTTTTGCTGTTTGTTTGTATTACTTAAATATAAAACTACATAGATAAATAAACACAATGAAAAGCTATAATAGAAAAAAATAACGTAAAAGTAAATTGTACCTCATACCTATATAATAATATTAGTTTCGATTTGGAATTATAGATGACGCTTTGCAATGAGGAAGTATTAAAAAAAACGAAAGCACTAAAAAAGCACAACCACTAGATGGCGTCTCTAGCAAAAGTTGATATTTGCAGGAAACGAATGGACCAAAGCCAGTCATTACCGTTCCTTTTAACTAACATATTAAAAAACCGAAATTTGAAAAGTTTGAAACTTAGATATCAATACAAATACGAAAAAATACAAATAGAATATGAGTAGTTTATTGAGTTTTGAAAACTTATTTACTTTTGAGGCATATCTGTTTTATAATCTTTGTCGACTCTGTGGCAACATAATCTATGATATTTTGTATTTTGTAAGTGGCACTTCAACATCAAATAGTCTGAAAGTAAACTCATATCATAACTATGAACACGTTTATTTATTTTACCGATCCTTCGCATAAATAGAGTCAGATATTAAACTTACCAATAAGTTAAATATCAACCTGTATACTGAATCGCATTATGGTTTTGATTATACTCAATACTCAAATGTTTATTGCAAAACCATAGTGTTACAAAATAATAATATTAGTATCAAACTATGGACCCCGTCGGGCACAGCAACACTTTATAGAGAGGATACATATCAAAAATAAAATAAGTGGTCTGGCAATTTAATAATAATCATAAAGTTAATCAATTATCACTAACAGTCATACATACAAACAATTAAAAAATTTCTTCAAACAGGATTATTATAGTGAAAAGCAATATTCATTGCACGTGCGTGATATGCATCAAAGATAATATAGATAATATTTCGTTAATTACGTTACCGCTATTTCTAATAAATTTTAATTTTGTAAATATTGTATGGGTTTTCTATACAAACCTAATTTCATACCATAGATACTAATATTAAACAAGTTCACAGACTTCTTATCTTATTATTATTAATCCAAAATATGTAATTGATTTTCAGGTTCTTTAAGGAGTCGTTCTTCCTCGCTTTTATTACCTACTAAAAATGTCAACTTGATCACAAATACAAAATAAAAAATTAATTGTTTTAAATAAGGTGTAATGTTTGTGAAGTAAGGGCTTATAGAGTTAGAGTGTGTAAAGTTAGGATCTTGTCTCTACAATATCTGATAACTTTTCGTCAATACTAGTCATATGGTCTCGGCTTGGCTCGTCATGAAATTATTTTGGTAGATTATATATTACGAGATTGCGCCATTTTGAAATCAAATGCTTATTCATTGCGTAACTACATTTTATTTGTAACGATTACAATATATCTAGCAAAGTACACTTAATTGATATATCTACATAGATTGCAGTCTTAGAAATTCTTTTAAAGGCTACGGTTATGCGGGGTTTATTTCTACAGTTCATCATCATCACCAGCCCTTTTTACGTCCCCACTGCAGGGGCTCAAGCCTTCCTTATGGATGGTTAAGGAGGATGGGCCATGACCCTCCACGCTGGCCCAATGCGGATTGGAGGGTATTAACAACTGCAAATGCAGCCGGGACCAACGGCTTAATGTGCCTTCCGAAGCACGGAGTAGCTCGAGATAATAATTTTTCGGTCACCCATCCCGTGACCAACCCTTGCGAAAGTTGCTTAACGACTACGATCGCGGGCCGCGGCGCTTATCCACTACGCCACTGAGCTACTCTACAGTTTACCTATTGTAAATACTGCAAAATATTCACACCATTCATTATTTTTATTTTTATATCGCTACTGACACTATTATATTAGTTTTATACAATTATACTTGGAAACCAATAGCCTTTTTAAAACTGGACAGCAATAAAGCGTTTTCAATTTACTTTAAATTATTTATTTCAATTTATTAATTAAGATTGAATTATAGACTATGTTATAACAAACTTTAACAGTTAATTTCAGGACTAAGTGGTGTTAATTGGTCAGCACAAAAACACAAGCGCCTCTTCTTATCAAGATGCTTAATATCATACAATCTTGGGTAACACAGACACCAAAAGACTGATCAGAATTAAGAAAAAAAAATATTTTAGTCAATGCTTTTTATTTCGTTTCAAAACTCTCTCCCATTTATTATGTGTAAAATTCAATTTTGCGTTTAATAAAAATTGTGGACTCTGAAGCACTTCATCTTCATGTCTTAAAGAATGCGCAGTATCATTCATACGCATATACACTGGTAATAGAATTACAGGAATTCTAGTTGAAGACTTTACATCTAGTAATACGTCTTTTGGTGCGTTTTTCGATTGTAGTATTCCATAATCGAATATGTGTTTGGTTCTTCTAAAAGATCTCATATCTCTTGTGACTCTTGGTGGCGCCAGTGTTGTAGAGAATGTTCGATGGAATTCTCGTAGTATATCGTCCAATTGCTCTTTGGTGACATTCGTTTTGGGAGTTTTAATGACGTCATCGAAGAGCTTATTGCATGGAGGTGTGTTCTTTCGTCTGGAGATTGGACAAGTCTGAAATGATAGAAGGAATTATTATAGATTTTTAGTGAATTTTGAATTCCATGTTTATATTTAAGTTGGCAAAGGGCTCGAATGTCTCAGGTAAGAGGTTTTTCAGACTCGAATTAGCGACCACGAGATAAATAACGAGAAGAGATAGAATATTTTTGGATGTTTAATATTTTCTTTTTTTTTATTTTACTAATTCTTTGACTTAACAGTATTTTTAGATATTAATTCGCAATCTATTAGTACTAGTAATTTATTGTGAAATAAAAAGAAATTAATGATTTTGGCAAGAAAGAGGATGAGGATTCGCTCTTCGTGATTTTTCAGTACCTACTGAGGTTTGCTTTTAAAACTTTTGTTTAGGGAAATGCGCATTAAAAGGAAAGTTATCTTAATACTAGCTAACAACCCGATCCCCAACGTTAGATACGAGAGTCCAGGTTGACTACAACAGAGCGGAGACACCTCCCCGTGGGGTGATGCCCTCCAAGTAGATAGCCTTCAGGAGAATCCATCTCTAAGCTTGAGGTCATAAAGATGTCGCCACCACTTAGTCTGGTAACACTGGCTAATGGCCATCTGAGGCCAACAGTAAACACAGCTCATAAAAAAAATCGTTTGAACCGCGGTCCCGGGCTAACAACACCTAGCTTGGTAAACAATTACTCTTTAGTCTCCCATGCCAGTTGTCTCCATCAACCTGTATCCAAGCAGTTACTTACCATAATCATAGCATCGATGACATTCATAAACCTCTTAGGCGAGCTGCAATAATGTTCATATAGTGGTAATGCTGTGAGTACATTCATCAACAATCTACCGATCGGTGTCCACTCTGAATCGTTTGCAGTGAACGATCTAATCCTATCATTTAACTTGAAGTAATCCATGAAGCCGTATTTGTTCAGTATTTCCATTTCACGCATCATACACAATGTTGACTGAGAAGAATCTTGACACTGAAAATATATGAAATGACTCACTATCACGAAATGTCAAATTTTCCTAAATCGATTTTGGTTTTTAAAACCTACAAAAAATAATGTATAAAATCAAGTAGAGAAAATCATAGTTTTGTATAACACGATGTGCTGTCCGCTATACCAGAATCTATAGTCTATGATTTGATTGACACACAATCAATGATATTACAATAAAAAAAGTGTAGGTTACTTGATTCGAAATGTGTCACCTTAAAACTGTGCTAATTAGCATACTTGAGCGCAGTCTAGCGAAAGCGTTGATTGTGTGCGTTTATGTGCCATTATAATTTTAAAAATGCCATCCTGTGTTATGTGAAACTTTAGAAATAACATAAGTAAGTCATCTCAAGACCAAGGGGTCACATGTCATTCGTAAGTATACATGTGTCTACACATTACTACGCTTATATTTATTTGGAAATCTATATGAGATTGAAATTCTGAAACATTGAATTCGGCGCATCAAAACCTAACTCCGGAGCTAAATTACTCCAATTCTGATTTTTCAGTGTCAGATTTATTTTATCGCTTAAAAAGCTTCATTATTTATACACGGGCAAATAATATATACACTAACGACAAGGATAAACAATAATGTGAGACATCAATATTTTTAAGTTGAAATGTTGATGGAAATCTTTAACTCGTTTTGGAAAAATTAGGCATTATACATGCATTAAATCATTATACGTCTGGACTGTGATATGTTCAATTATAGTCTATGAATAATTGGAGAGTATCGTGCCATGTGCGTGTGTATATGCTGGGGAAAATTTTTGACATCGTATTAGTACTACTCTTTTTTATTATAATATCATCCATCACACACAATATACACACAATATAAAAATATTCATTAAAAACAATAACTATATTCATTCAACAATAAGAAATAGTTTCTTAATTTGCCTTCATATAAATAACTAGCTAATTTCCTTCGACTTCGATCGCGTAAATTATAGTAAACCCTGAATGATGTAGCTACCCGTAGGTGAAAGAATTTTTAAAACCGCTCTATTACTTTTGGAACCTATTCGCTGCAAACAAACAACTAAATCTTTTCTCTTTATAATATTAGTATATTATAGAAGCAGAGACAAATAGTTGACGTCAGATACATTGCTCAGATACCAAATTAAGTATCTAATTCACTTGTATCATAGAAATCTGAAACAACGAAGATATATCAAAACCGAGACAATATAGAAAAGTCAATTTTCTTAATTAAGCCGACCGTCAATTAAGAAAATTGAAAATTGGGGATCTCAAAAATCACCTTGAAACCGGAAACACTCGGCCACGGAAAGTTTATAAATTCACTAAATCTTTTTTTGCATTTGATGCTTGCTACTTTCATAGCTAAATTAACATAACATTTAAAAAAGGTTAATGTAAAATTAATACTACTACTTATCTAAAATGTTATTAGTAAAGCAATAATTTGTCAAAAGTGTTTCGGTAAAACATTAGTGAACCACTTGAGTAAAGAAGTAAGTATGATTGGCTACGTAACAAAAAAGTTATGGCATGAATGTGGACGTATATACAAGGATTGTAAAGCCCAAGAATAGGTGGATAGACTGTAAAAGATGAGTAAAAAGGAGTGAATTTCGAGATGACGGCCGATCGAGAAGTATGGATGTATATAGGTACATATTGCGACACAATTGGTTCACTAACCAAGATATTGAATCTTGGTTAGTGAACCAATTGTGTCAAACCAGGGCTTACCGTGTTGTCATTTTTCCATTCATTTATAGTATTTTTAACTGGATTTTCAGGAACATATTCTATCTGACTAATAGATGTAACTCCACATTCAGTCAGTATATCGGTGTCCACGAAATGAGGAAGACCGCAGACGGAACGACGATTTTTCTTAACAAAACAAATGTTTATTATCAAATTATTATTTTTTCTCTCTAAATACATAGGAATGAATAAAACAATACATTTTTTGTATTTGAACAAGCTTACTGCCAGTGGCTTCGCCCACGTGGTGCCTAGGTAACTGTTAATTTGGATATCGATTCGTATCATAACACGGATATAATTACAATGACAAATTAACAGTGGTTACTATGGTAACATCTCAGTTCTTTATACAAAACCCAGTCCCGTTTTCATCCCTTTATTTAATATAACCTATGTTTACTGGGCTCAAAATTGCGACCTTTCAATTACAAACAACCTTCGCCAATTGGCTATAATCTTTTCCTAGAGCAGATGAAAAATGGACAAAGCATTGAGAGTAAACGATACGTATCGCTACCCATAAACCTTTTCCGTTTCCGTTTAGTACTGCCTATTATTATTCGGAGTGGGGTAAGTGAACTATAATAGCATCACGTAACAGTCAACAGCATGTCAAAGTACACAAAATTGACAAATTTCCCTCACGTGATTTTAAACCCTAATACATTGAAGGTAGAGGTAAAAATCCATTGCAGAAATTTGACATATTTGAGGTGCACCTGGCATGCAACAATTGACAGTACCATGCGCAAACACCAGTCTCAAACACGTGTGACAGTTTTATTTTTAAGTATTTACTCATAAAACAAATAAGTATGATATAAAAATCAACTTCAATTAGGATATGTTAGAATTATTTTGTTGTAACAAGAAAAGCTTAAGCTACTTACAGGTCTATATTTGGAAGCAGATATCTGACAAACTGTGTTATTTCGCTTCGAGTGCCTGAAAAAGTGAAAATACATGTTTTAATTAACTTCCTATATGAATCTACTATATGCTTTCCCGCGAAAATTATAGCCTATTTCACCCACATATGATGTGGCTTCCCGTAGGTGAAAGAGTTTAAAAATCGCTCCTGTAACTTCTGAGCCTGTTCGATACAAACAAACAATCAAATCTTTCCTTTTTATAATATTAGTATAGAAACAATATATGCACAAGAAAATAATTCAATAGAAAACTTTGGAATTGAATTTTTTTCAGCGAAAAACTTTTTGTTCAATTAAATCTATCAATTTGACATTTTCAAAGTTATTCACGAACTTCACGCTATAACTATTTGACATGCAATCACGACATTTTATTTAAATATATCAATATCGTTCATTTGATGTGAATGAGGAAGTATTTTAAGAAAAAAGAAAGCACTAAAAAGCACATTACTAGATGGCAACTCTAGCGAAAGTTGATTTTTTCAGGACCAAAGATAATAATTTCTGTTCCTTTTAACTGACATATTAAAAAACTGAAATTTGCAAAGTTCGAAACTTAGATATCAATACAAATACGAAAAAGTACAAATAGAATATGAGTCGTTTATTGAGTTTTGAAAATTAATTCACTTTTATACATGAAAGAAAACCGGAAGGATTGTCATGGAGAAATCAAGAAAGTACCGTAGCGACATCTAGTTTGATTTCGGGAACAATTTTTTGAACAGTGTAAAACAGCGTTAACACAAATATTATATTACAGTTTAAATTTAAAAATAGTAACATAATTAATAGTTTAAGTTACTATGTTTTAATTATGTTTCATCATTCATTCCGAAACGACTTAAAACGTTACATAATTTCATACACGGTCATCACAATCGCTATACCTTCCAATTGGTTGCGATAGATATTCAAATTAAGCAATTGGCCCAGTGGTTTTGGTCCGATTAATTCAATTAAATATATAATGTAGTCAAATATATAATCAGTTTATTTAACCGACTTCAAAAAAGGAAGAGGTTCTCAATTCGACTGTGTGTTTGTTACGCGATTACTCCGCCAATTATGAATTAATTTTCGAACTTATTATTTCATTCGACAGTTGAAATATCTGGCCTTTCATTCAAAATTTATGCGTTTTCTTAAATAGTCATAACTAATATAATGAAAACCAACCTGCAAAAGTCATTCTTGCTTTTGTGAGGACAATTCTGGAAAATGTAAATAATAGTCAATTTGAGTTATAAATTTTTTTTAACAAAGTATAAACGTTTTATTGCTGTTAGACAGAGGAACCGTTTATTTGGTTATATTCTCCTATTAATGTTCCCTGTTATAAATTAAACTACTGACACTAAGGCCTTCCTTATGGATGGACTCGAATAGGGATAATGGACCATGGCGTGCCATATGGGGCGCAGTGTGGAGTGGGTATTGACGACTGCAGATGCAGCCGCGCCCTCCGTGTTCTCCGAAGCACGGGGAAACTCGAGAAAATAAAGTTTGGTCACCGATCCTATGACCGGCCATTGCGAAAGTTACATATCGCAGACCGAATGCGCTAACCACTGAGCCATCGAGCTCCTCGTTTTATACATATTTCCTAGTGTATAATGCCTACGCCCGTAAGCATGTCCTTATCCTTGTGTTACCTCCATGAATAAGAAAACCCATAAAAGTGATACTACCCACTATACGACAACGAACGAGGATAGACTACCATCACAGAGCGTACGTTCGTCGTGGTGTACAGACGTTTGGGTTTAAAATAATACTGTCCCTCTGACTGTTGTTATATTGAGTTAGTGGTTATTTGTTTAAAGTACATAAAGTTAATTGGAACAATTACTGTTTTTTATGGTTTTAATGCTATCCAATTTATATTATATTAATATTCTGGGCTTACATAATTATTTAATTATAGCAGCTCTTTTACGTCCCCTCTGCAGAGTCTCAGGCCTTCCTTATGGATGGTTAAGGAGGATGGGCCTTGAGCCTCTACACTGATTCAATGAGGGCTAAGGGTATTAATAGCTGCAAATGCAGCGGACACCAACGACTCAACGTACCTTCACGTGAGTACCTAGATAAAATATTTTTGGTCACCCATCCCGTGACCGATCCTTGCGAAAGTTGCTTAACAACAACGAGCGCAGGTCGCGGTGCATATCTACTATCCCAACCAAGCTACAGATACATATATTTTTGTGTTCTGAAAACAGTAACAAAACTCACCTCAGAAAATACGTCTAGTGTACAACCGAGCACTTCATTTATCTCACAACCAGCGCTATATTCATTGTTCTTCCTGGTTAAACACTGTGTTATCACTCTAGCCTTCGCTTTTCTCCACGAAGGGTGTAAAGTTGTGAAATTATCTAGCACTTTAGTGAACGCATCCATATCCACTGTACCCGATTCTGATATAACTTTCAGCTTTTGGAAGACACATGTTTCTTTGTCACACTAAAAGTAGAGACAAGAGTGTTTTAGTATTTTTTTGTTTAGCATTAATCTAAAAAACTACTAATCCAATAGTCGTGAATATTTAATAAAACCTCCTCTAGAATATCCCCTTCCCTTTCAAACAAAAAAGAATCATCAAAATTAGTCTACTGCTGCAGATAAACAAGAATGTACATATTAAACAAATAGAGAACATTTTTGAAGTTGATTAAAACTAGTAAGAAATCTAAGTATAAGGGAAACCAATCAAATACAAAAAAAAAAACTTACGGATAGCGGCACAACTCTTATATCTTTATTAATTGGAATAGAAGTAGTCGTTTCGGATGCCAATGTAGTAGGAACCATGTCTTGATCTTCGACTTTAAATCTTTTAACACCATCCCATTTCAACTGAAAACCGCATTTCGACCTCCAGGATGATGCAATGAAAGATTCCATATCGCAGCATTCTAATGGGTCTTCAAAATTCTGTGGTAAAAATAAGTACGTTTATATACTGCACATTTGGCATCATGAACTCGAGAGACTCGAGAGAAATGAGTCAAAAGTGCTACGACATCTATCTCACCACGTTAACATCATTACAATAATCGACTAAAGCTGATGACGTCGAACGGTCACGAGATGGCGCCGCGACACCTGCATCGCGCTTACTAAGATTCGCCGTGACATAAGGTTTATAAAACTTCTGACCTACATCGGTTGAACCGAGGCCCCCGAATTACAAACACGCTCGGAGGGGGACAATTTTCATCTAATCTCCCTAACCAATTGCTACTAGCCAGTAGAACCAAAACAACCTACAAGTTAGGATAATCCTATAGGAACGATTTCATGTAATTATAATGGTAAAGGTACCTGACTGTCCCATCTCAAAAATCAACCCTCTATAGTTTATTTTTAATGACTAAATAGATACCTCAAATCAAATCATCAAAAAATATAATTTATTTCGCTTTGATCTATAAAAAATACTATTAAACTGGCTAAATCTAATGGCACATACCTCTCCACCTATAGGCATCACTTTAGGCATATTCTCTTTTATTGTCTTTGGTTTTGAAGTCACCTGAAAAATGTGAAAACGATTATGTACCTATAGTTTTTTATTAGGGCCCTCCTAATTGAGGAGAAAATAGACAATGACCCAAACTATTATGCGGAAATTGAAAGTAAACGATATATATCGCTATCCATATAACTATCGTTTCAAGGAGTTTTGCCTATACAGGGTAGAAAAATATAAATATTTTTATAGGCCTCATTAATACTACTACTTAATAAAATAAAACTTACCATATAATACTTCTGTGTTTCAGTCGTATTAGGTTCGTTCTCGTAGTATCTCAGAAAAGTACTGAACCCACATTCCGATAAAACCGTGTAGTTGATTAATCTCGGCACGTCGCAGCATTTTCTATCAAAGTACTGAAATAATTTTATATCAACTTTTTAAAAAGTACGAAGTTAGTTATAAATTTATGAATATATTTTTTGCCGCGTCGCATAAAATGCAAATGCAAAAGTTTTTCCACCTTACGTTTTTAAATACCAACTCCAAAAATTTCATACCTGTCTCATAAACCATGCAGGGCGATGTTCTTTAGCCAAATTCTTCTCCAAATCTTTGTACCGACTGCAAAGTAACAAGTCAAAATAATCATCAGCTTACTTACTCCCTTATTCCCTCACTATTGGAGTACGGGCGGATAGATGTTGCCTAATAGCTAATAATGTATAAAATCACTACAATTTCAAGCTGCTCCAGCAGATGTAGCTTTAGAAACTTGAAAAATTCTTCTCAAGTAGGTGATATTTATTTTATATAAAGCGACATTTCGGTGAAATCAAAACGTTTCTCTAGTTCGTCATACTACACGTAAAAGGTAATAAAAGTATTTGACTGATTTTGAAAAATAGCCTTAAATAAGCTATTTAATATTATATCAATAGCTGACATTATTATCTTGATAATTTTACAAAGCATTCAGTGATAATATAAAATCGATAATTATTATCATCAAAAAACTTACACTAAGCTCTCAGAAAAAGTTAGGCAAGCCGGGTTAGTAGTATATCAGGTCCGGATCTAAAGACTTTTCTAACCGGGGCAAAAACTTGATATTTCGCCCTTATCCCCCACATCCTCCGGAGCCTATATTTTTGCAATGTATGACTAAATATATTGAAAAGATGCCTGTCTCATCGTAGCCTATGTCTATGATTTTTTTGTTATTTATAATAACATTATTTTGGCTCCCCCTGACACTGGCGTTCGGGGCAAGTGCCTCCCCCCCTAGATCCGGCCCTGTATGATATACAACCAAATTTCAAATTACCTTTGAGTGAACATATAGTTCATACCAGCAGTCGTAGAAACCGGGTTGCAAGCATCAACTTCACTAGTACTATTCACAGGACAGTTCTAAAAAAGAAACACAAACAGACAAATAGAAGTGTCTCATTTTTACAATAAGGATTGCGTCAAATCTAAAAAGTATAATCAGGACTCCGGTTATTTTCGTAATGTCTTCAGTGCACAACTTCTATTTAAAAAATGAGCTTCCCGTAAGTTAAAGAATTTCGATCTAATAGTTTTCAAATCTATTCGATGCAATCAAACAAACAATAAAATATAATTCCCCTTTATAGTAAGCATTAATAAAGATTAAATTTTGCCACGTGCTAATAATTAAGGTTTCATACAAGTCGAATTAATAATAATAATAATAATAATCTTTATTGACTATAAAAACGATACAACGAATTTTTACACCAGTGATTCTTAAAATATTTATTCATTACATCTATTTAACATCTGTTGCTGAACTTGGTTGATACCTGTATTTCAGCATACAGCGCCACTGTCCTCAGAAAATATGTAATAAGATAAAAAAACAATAATAACAAGCCACACTAAATAGATCTGAACAATAAGAAACAATCAACTTGTACTAGTTATTAGTATGTAATATAATCAATAAAGTGTAGGTATATTTATATGTAAAGTAGACAGTCCTCTCTGTGTGTAAGATGATTGTGAGTGAGTGTGTGTGAGAGGGTGTGTAGTATAGGTAGTAATAGAATTCTTTGATTAATTCGCTATCTCCAATAGATTTTCTGTTTCGGTATACGATAACCGTTGGATCCAATTAAATATAATTTTTTTTACTGTACTTTTATGAAGGGGATATATATTAGTAAATTTATTTAGTTTGTTATATATTAATGGGCCTATAAATGGAAAAAAACGGTGGGAGAAACTAGTTCGAAATTTAAGTGTAGGTTTGCAAACTGAATACCATCTTCGTTTTGTAAGATAATCCTGATTGAATTCTATAATCGAATGTTGTTTCAATACAGTATTTAGTAAGAACATTTGACGAACAGTCAGAACCTCGCAATACTCATATAGAAGTTTGGTGGGATAAAGAAAAGATTTAAAGGTGCAAATTTTAAGAATAGCTCTTTGTGCTACTTCTAGAGATTTAAGAGTTGTTTTTGGAACACCACCCCAACATGTGATACAGTATCCCAAAATCGACTGACACAACGCAAAATATACTTGTCTTAAAACAGTCGGTGGTATGACATATCTCAAAGTTTTAAATACCACCATCAACTTACGCACTCTTTTTGTCAAACTGAATATATGCTCCTTAAAATTGAGATTTTCATCAATCACAATGCCCAAATATTTTAGAGATTTCGCACGTTCTACGGGTTCACATTGACATGTATTACTAATAGTTAAATTAAAACATTGATGAGAATACAATCCAAGATCTGGTGGTTTGTCGCGGATGGAAAAAGTTAGATATTTGGTCTTGCGAGTATTTAAAGTTAGTTTACTATCTTGTAGCCACTTATTCACGCGGTCAAAACCCATTTGAGCCTGTTTGAAGGTTTGTTCCCATGTTTTTGCAGTAAAAGTAAGAACAGTATCATCTGCATAGCAAATTATTTTTCCCTGGAAAGCGTTAAGACATAGAAGATCGTTTATATAAACTAGAAAAAGGGTAGGACCTAGTATGCTACCTTGGGGTACACCAAAGTTGGTAGCAATATCAGAACTTAAGTTATTGCCCAATTTCACATACTGTGTTCTGTTACTTAAATAGTCAGTTAGAAGATTAAGCTGTGTGCCACGTATGCCAACTCGTTCTAGTCTTTCAATGAGAATGGAAGCAGGAATTACATCGAAGGCTTTTGCCAGATCTAGAAATATTGAAATGCATTTATTTCCTGAGTCTAAATTAGTTGATAAAAAATTTATGAGGTTACCCACCGCATCTTCCGTGGACCTACCATTACGAAATCCAAATTGGTTAATAGACAGTAGGTGTTTATCTTCTAAGAACTTAACCAACCGAATATTTATAACCTTTTCTAAAATTTTTGAGAGTGAAGGAAGAATAGCTATTGGCCGATAGCTTCCGATACAATTCCTGCTTCCAACACTCTTATAAATTGGCAGTATTTGAGATCGTTTTAATGCTTTAGGAAAGATGCCTTTGTGTAAACACATATTAAAAACGTGAGTCAAATGCGGGACCAGAATGTCGATATGGCCTTTTAATAATTTATTTGAAATTTTATCCCAACCTATAGAACATTCATCTTTTAATGCAAGTATAAGATTTCTAACTTCCTTTTCATCCGTGTCTGTTAGAACAAATGAATCACAAGAATAGAACGCTGAATTTACGAAAGACGATGGTTGAATTTGATTATTTGTGAATTTTTCTGCAAGCGATTTTCCTATATTAGCAAAATAAGTGTTAATACTATCGACCGATCCTTGAGCACTATCAGAGATAGTTAGCAACTCTTTCGGAAACACTTTATCTGAAGTTGAATTTGTAACTAATCTTAATGACTGCCACAGCTTTTTACTATCTTTACCTGCTTTTTGAATTAGATCTTTTTCGTAATTACGTTTTACATTATATAAGTATCATTCCAAATAATATATGAAATCGATCCGTGCGAGATGAAGAGCAGGTTTCACATCATACAGGTTCAGTATCATGCCGAATAATATATGAAGCGGAACGATTACTCTTAAACGTAATGGCGATCGATCGACATTGCAATGAGGAAGTATATAAAAAAAAAACATTAGCTCCCAAAGTCAAACTAAATGTCGCTACGGTACGTTCTTTATTTCTCCACGACAATCTTTCCGGTTTTCTTTCAAGTATAAAAGTAAATTAGTTTTCAAAACTCAATAAACAACTCATATTCTATTTGTACTTTTTCGTATTTGTGTTGATATTTAAGTTTCGAACTTTGCAAATAGTTTTTTAATATGTTAGTTAATAGGAACGGAAATGACTGTCTTTGGTCCATTCGTTTCCTGCAAAAATCAACTTTTGCTAGAGTCGCCATCTAGTGGAGGTGCTTGTTTAGTGCTTTCGTTTTTTTTAAATACATCCTCTTGCTTGGCGGCAATTGTCTCAGTATTGCGTGATTATTGAATAAACTAATTGGCATTGAATAAGTATTGACTCTATGTTTCAAGAATACGAGCTAAGATTTGATGAAAATTAAGATTGTTATTGGATTGGATTGAAATTGACATTGAGATTGCGGTTTAAAATAAGCCTGCAAACGACGACAACACGCGAGGCGGGTCGTTAAGGGTTAAATATAATTCCAGCCCTACTAACCTCAACCAAATTATCGAGAGTACAATGCAATAGTGCTTGTCCAGTACAAGTGTTCACATATTGCCTCTGCCTGTTCGTATAGCATGTTTGTACAGTAGTATCAATAGCTTGATGCCAATCTTCAGGTAGTATAGACTTGAGAATGTTCGTATAGTTGTTTTGCGAAGGCAATGATGCAGGTAGACCAAGGTTTCTTGCTACGCAGTTCCATGGTTTGCACTAGAATTTTATTATTATTATTAGATTTATTTTTTAAGTTTATTTTAAATCGACATTTAATTTTCATAGCAGGGTATATATTAATAAATTTTCTTAGTACCTTCTGTATGTATATAATCAAACTTAAGGTGTAAAAAAACCTTTACATCAATCAAGTACTTGAATTAATAAAAATATAGGTATTCTAAAAAATCATTCAAAGAGCCGGCGTGTGTAAAGGAAAAGAAAAGAAAATAGTTTGCAGCTCGTCAAGTTATACAAATCTAACATATTTCAAACCATATTACATTATGAGTAGTTCTATAGCTAATATAGGTTAAGACCGAATATGTGTCGTTTACGTCCAACACTGATGGTGACTAATTGATAAATGCTTTTACTTCTTAAAATTTGAGGTCATATTCACCATTGTTTCCAAAATTTGTGATCTATAACACCATTCAACGGCGCAGAAAAACTGGATAAGATTGCATTCAATACTCGTTTTGGAGTAAATACTTAGTGACTACTAGAGGGCCTTTGAACCGCAAAGTATGCTGACGTGTATACTTAAATCTTTATGATGTTAGTAGAGAATGTAAAATATTGTTTTTTAAATATATCACTTGTTTCTACTATAGACTAATAACTATATAACTCGTACGACTGGGGATTCTGTGTTTGGCATAATATATCCCAATATCGCGAAACTAAGTCATCTACTGTGCTCATACATAAAAAATATAAAGGTTTAGGTATTTGTTTTCTATATATGTACCTATGTACATAGTTTAATATATTAAAAAAAAACTTACCACACCTGAAGTTTTCAAATATGGCGTACCAAACTCAGCTTTTACAAAGAATATCTGAAAATAATATATCGTAACGATTTAAAATATGAATATTTTAATGATTTGGAAAAACATAACTACAGATACACATAAACTATAAACATTGCCTAATAAGAACCCCTATGAAAGCTTTTTTTGGGCTAGGGGCTAAGTGTGGCGGCCCAACCTGAGCCACCAGGGCTGCAGCTATCCGCAATATCAAGTTATCAAGTTTCTGCCCTATTTAAAAGAAGTTGTCAATTACCGCCCCGGGCCTTCGATGAGGTTTTTCCGCCATTGGTGTCCAATAAACATTAACCTCTTAATTAGGTCTTCCTTCAAGCCGTTTAATTTTGTACCTCTTTTCCTTAGCTCAGTTTATTAAAGCACTGACATTCATTGGCCGAATTTATATTTGCCGTAATGAATTGTCAAGTACCCCAAAATAAGCTCTATTTTTTTTAAAGATACGTTGCTTGCTCTCTCTGGCCACGGCAAAGTATGATATTTGAGATTTCGAAGACCCCACTTAACACTACCAAATTGAAAAGCGTTAGCCCTCATTAAATGAAGCAACCTGACTTTCCTAGTACAAAGAGCGACCCTTGTCGCGTGCGTGACCCACGCTCAGGTACAAAATTCAACAAACAAATTTTCAAATTTTACGATCAGATGCACGTGAAATATCTTGAGAACTTTTAATATTATCATAGAGCTAATCGTTATAGCATTCTATTAAATATCTACCTATCAAATATTATAGTTTGCATTAATAATACTAAGTATATCAATGGTCATGTATAGAGAAATAAAAACTTTAAAAGTACACAGTTCCAGGTATTTACGAAATGAGATTCGAACCCATAACTTTGGCAATTTAAGTATATTTCCATTAAATAAATACACGTATTAATCATAAATACTATACATTGCTTCAACCTTTAACATGTTATTATTATATTTGAACAATATTGCATTCACAATGTTAGAGTGAAAAGTATTCTTGATGAAAAATGCTTAAAAAAATCCAATTTGTCCCATCTCAGAGTGCCAGGGATAAAATTTTACTTTTTATTTACAAAATCACTTCATTCGATTGTTAATATGATTCCGTGTTGATAATCATTGGGTGAATAAAACATGATTACAGGTAGGTACTCGTATTTCTTAAACACTTCACGTTTGCATTTAAAATAATTCCGTATTATCAGAAACGCGACACCCATATACAACTGCGCAGTATTCCAACAAATTCATCCTTCGGAATTTAAGTAACATGATAATACTAAAAATTTATTAAAGTAAACCATTTATCTCTGACCCAATTAATGTCAGACTTTTTATTTATAATAACGAATTAATTATATATAAATTAATATTATACACTTCTGCTCAGATAGGTACCAAATTAAGTTGAAGCACTTCGGTTTTATAAAGTTCTTTTTCTTTATTGGCCCGACCGAGAATCGACTTCGCGACTTCATATATAGCGACACATCAATCCAGCGTGCAAACCATTCTATCAGAGGTTATAAATTAACATAGCCAAGACATTAATGGCACAAGTCCATTGCTAAGTAGCAAACTCTTCCAGGTAAACTTCGTACAAGGAAAGTGAACGCAACCAGAATTTATGTTCTTAAACTAGATATTACAACTACCTATAACTTAACATTAAAATACTCTTACTTATCATTAAAATAATCTAAAAGAACTATCACAGAGGAATATAAAAATACCATTATTATGTAATCCAAAATTCACTTAAGATAATAGGAACCTATAAATACTTCTGCAAAAACTGGAATTTTTACAATTATTTTATTCTGCTGAGCAATCCCGTAAAAACCCGAACCCGAATTCGAATTCACTCATGTGTCTGAATTCACGTCACGTCATTTAGGGTAGCAATTCTATTGATTCCATTTTTTATATAAATTACAAAACAAGATTGATTGATTATACGTGTCTAAGATATTCTATCCTTATGTGATTTTGAAACTCACTTCACCTATGCCACGAAACGTTAAGACACCTGAGTGCATTAGAAATAGGGTTCGGACTTTTACAAAATCGCAGGGCTGATTGGAAACTAGTTCTGAAATTATATAATTTAGAAAACTGAGCTTTAATATACACTTAAACGAGGTAAATGTTCCATACTAAAGATTATTTATAGATAAATAATCTGTCACCCAGTATGGCATTTATTACAAATTATAAATAACTATTATCTTTCTCACCACTTCCAGAAATAATATCACCCGCAACAACCACATGGCGTCAGCAGGGGTGTTCAAGTGCGACTGACTGACATTCCGATACGATCGGACTAGAGGTCGAATGGTGTGAGATAAAAAGGTTTTGTTTACAATAATAGTAGGTAATTAGAAGACAATTGTAGCAATTCTGTCGCATAAATTAGACTAAAATCGATTTTGATCCTCAATTCTGTACATAATAAAAATGACATACCTATAAATAAACCTAATAATGTATATGAAAGATTTTTTTATTAGATGTGAGTGACTACTGTTAAAACCAATGTTAATTTTTAGGTTAGTGTACCTAATATGTATTAAAATATATAGAAAAAAAATATAAACAAAATCTTGTAGACTGAAACAAAATTCAATAATTTTATTTAGCCGAGTGGTTCGCACGCCGCATTCAAGGTGTAGCCATCTCTGAGGTTCGATCCCCGGTCGGGTCAATGTAGAAAATGAACTTTTCTATATTGTGTCAGGTCTGGGTGTTGTGTTACTTTCGTTGTCTCAGATACTCCATAATACGGGGGCTTTGACTACTCATCTTAGAATCTGAACAATGTATGTGATATTGTGTAATATTTATTTATTTAATGTAAAATATTTTTTTTTTATTAACAATATTTATTTTCTATTTTATTTTAAATGACTTCCTGTATATTTGATTACCTACCTATAAGAAATAATTTACAATGATTCTTGATGAAAAATGCTTAAAAATCCACTCTGCCCTGTTATTGTGAGATGTGAGTACAAGGCGATTTTTTTAAGCATTTTTCAATAAGAATATTTTAATAGCATTGTGGATACAAAATTAATTAAATATAATAATTTATATTATTACTGCAACTATAATTAAAAATGGTTTCTGTACACAATAGGCTGACATAATCGCTCAGCGTCTAAATAATAGTTTCAAAGCATTTATTAATTATACTTTTTTGAACTAATTGTTTGTTAGGTCGAGTAGTTCCGGAGTTGTTGTCAAATTTCATTTTAGGACGCACCAACCAACCAACGCCTTAAGCGGGTGTTCTTTTATTCGTAATTTATTGGAATTTATTAACCTATTTTATCGATATCGATATTTCACCAACTTAGCAACCCTAGAGTATCCGGTGATTTTTAAGTAGCCAATAAACACCGCCGAAACTGACCTCCCCCCGCACCACAAATCGGTGAGATGTATTTGTACCAAGAATGAGCTGATGCGCTCTCCAGTCTACTCCATGCATCGTGGTAACTTATCACTAAACTTTGCCATTAATTAACGCGTCCAAATTTCTTGTTGACATGCGTAAGTAGTTAAGGACTTGGAATCGTCATCGTCATCCCTCTTAACTCTAGTTTAGTGTCAACTGGTTGAACAATATCACAAATGCACCGATTAGCAGTCTTTGAGCAAAAGTAGATTAACCTGCAGTGTCCATCTTTTTCATTGTCGTTTTTCTTTTAGCGTAAATAATACACTGCAGCATTTTGAACACTCGCAAGATTGGCCATATCTGTACTTTGCAGCGATTAGCATAATGCTATAAAGATACTCTATGTTGATAATGAAATGAGTATGCGCTGCAAGCTTGCGCTGATATCTACGCACGTAGACGCCAGCGTGGACGGTCTGAATTGCACTAAAACCTGCCTGTTTTCTGATGTATCTTCAAAACTAAGTATGTACATCAAAATAATCGAATGAATAAATATTCTTGATGAAATTGCAAAAAATCCTCTTTGTCCTCTTCTCAAAAAAATTTTGGATCTCAGCAGTTAGAGCTATCGCCCGAATTTCAAAGGGGTTGGTGCGAGTCCCACCTCGGGGTACCAGGAACTGGTAGATTTTTAAGCATTATTCATTATGAACCAGTATTGCTTGTGAATGGAAAATTGAAACAATATACTAAATAAATATTTTTGAGATACTAACCACAAGTGCTTTCATTTGTCATTCAGACTATCAGTCTAATATAGTTGGAAAAATATTATATCCCTTTTTTCTAATTCGGACCAAAGAAATGAAATGAAAATATCTTTATTCAAGTAGGCTTATCACAAGCACTTTTGAATCGTTCAAAAAATTGTTTACTACCACTTGTTCAGGACGTCTTTTAGCTGACAAGAAGAGAATTTGAAATTTATTTATTGGTAGGTCAATTACATTTTGTGGAATTTTATTGAACATAGCACTGCATTTACCCAGAAATGATCCTCTGGTTTTCTGGAGACTGAAGCTTAAAACGGCCAAGTTTATTTTTATTTCTTGTGTTAATATTATGAACACTACTTTTTTTGTGAAAGAATCATAATGTTTTCTTTAAAAAGCGGCGACAACATTCATATATATATATAGGAATGGTGACTTATTTTTTTTTGATACATAGAGTTTAATGTCGCATGACGTCACATTTTATACAATGCTGTGACGTAGCGAGCTCCCATTCCTCAACTTGAATACCAATTCTTGTTAAATTAAAGAATTTCTTTTTTTTTCACTCAACCAACATACCTATTCTCTTAGGGCTTTCCTCAGCAGATATTCATTGATAAAGTACAGTCAGTACATGCGCCTCCAAATCACTGTAAATTATGGCTAAAAAATAAAAGATAATATGAAACTAATTAATAAAACCACCAATTAAATATTTAACATAATTTATTGGAATACTCCATAAATTAAACACATCAGCTACTATACAAAATACAAGCGAAACAAAACATGACGGTTCCAGGCAAAGGTTAGCAAGTACATTTATTTTGATTCTTTGTTCATTAAGTGCATTCATAACTATAGATTCATCACAGATGCATGAAAATCTTCACAAAAAATAGTATTGTGAATCGCATAGGACCGGAAGTCAGTATTCTTCTTAACAATGTTAGAATTGTACCTGAAACAAAGAGTTTTTTTTTCCTTTGATTTATTTATGCTACCAAACCAACTGTTCTGATCATAAATCGTGACACAGTACGTCAACATCATCAGCCCTTTTACGTCCCCACTGCACGGACTCGGGCCTTCCTTATGGATGGTTAAGGAGGATGGGCCATGACCCTCCATGCTGGACAATGCGGATTGGAAGGTATTGACGACTGCAGATGCAGCCGGAAGATAATAATTCCTTGGTCACGACTTGACATGAATGACACCATACTGTATCAAAAGCTAACGAGGAAGTATTTTAAGAAAAAAAAAGAAAGCACTAAAAAGCACCTCACTAGATGGCGACTCTATCAAAAGTCGATTTTTGCAGGTAACGAATTTATTAAAAAACTGAAATTTGCAAAGTTCGAAACTTAGATATCAATACAAATACGAAAAAGTACAAATAGAATATGAGCTCTTAATTAAGTTTTGAAAATTAATTTACTTTTACACATGGAGAAATCAAGAAAGTACCGTAGCGACATCTAGTTTCATTTCGGGAACTAATGTTTTTTTTCTAAATACTTCCTCATTAACGTTATCTTATATGTAATAATATAAAAAATAATAAAAAACCGAAGATTAAATTAAAAGAAATACTCTTAAAGAAAAAAAAATCCAGCATTTTGAATGAAAAACTGATATATTATAAAAAAAGAAACACGTTAGTGATTTTTTATTTACACATCTTAAATACTAGTTGTCAATGAAAATGAAAATCGAATATATCGACATATCCAAGGAATAAAGTTACACCAGTGAGCTACATAATCACTTTTCAACAGGGATTTAGGAATTTATAACACAAAATCCTCTATTACTCGTACTTTGGTCTAAGAAAGATCAAGAAACTGACTTGATTATTTCATAAAATAAAACTATTAATCGGTTATTTGTTAAAACTCAAGAAGCTTCTTTAGAAATTAATGTATTAAAATCAAAGCTTTTATATTTTGGTCCATAATTATGGAAATAAATCCAAATGTAATTTTTAAATGGAAATGGAACATCCGAATCGCTTTGTGGTAGTTTTCGTAGTAATATTTAGAACCAATTTCTATCCTGGCTATATTTTTATATGGTATGAAATAAGTAAGAAATAAACTACATTTTGAGAAATTGGACATGATTTACAGAGTAGCTTTATGTCACTTTATTCTACAGACAGGTCGATTTAGAGTCTGTCTCACGAAACAAGTCCCGCGGCAATGAGTGGAACTAATACAGATCGGCCACGTTGTCCTTTCGAGTGTTGTGAATGGTGGATATGTATTTTGGGTTGTTAGCTATGTGCTATTTACTCAGAGTATGGTTGTTTAACGTTGTTTTGCAATTGCTATTTTATTTACTACTTATGATAAAGAGCTGGTAAGTTTCTTTCGCTTGTTCTTCTTGTCAGCTAAAAGACGTCCTGAACAAGTGGTAGGGGAAAAAAAATTTTGGACGATTCAAAAGTGCTTGTAACAAAATTTACTTGAATAAAGATATTGAAAATATCTTTCATTTAATTAGTTTCACAGATATTCAAATTTTTGAGGTGACCTATATTACATTATAACATTATATATTTTTAATGTTAAAAGTTAATTAAAAAAACAAATAAACCCAATCGACGCTCATAATTATTTAAAATTAAAAATAAAAATATAATTTTATTTATTTTCTTGTATTTAATATTAGTATGGTAAAACAATATTTCATTATTTTATTGTATTTCCGAGTGTCAATAATATTTACTAAAATAATAAAATGTTCATCCTCAAATTAATTTTATATGCTCAATTATTTTTACAAAAATCTGTGTATGTTGAATCTACCTCATATTGCTGTTACACAATGTAGTGTCCTTTCGCTTATGGATAATAATGTTGGTTATACAATTGTGTAACTGTCCCTCTATAAACAAAAAAAAAACACAAAATTTTTGGGGTAATCAAAAATTCCAAGTCGGCAACACTCGAGACATTCGACCGCAGCGGCGCGACAGCGAGACTTCTTTCGTGTGACGTACTCTATATGAAATGAACACGCGTACCTAATTCGTCTAAGGCGTGGCAGGAGGGGGGGCGGTGATCACAGAAACGCACCGAAACCGAACGCCCGCTTGATGCTGTCGAAGTAGTACCGGCGCCAGTTGTCGCGCGTCCGCTCCACCTCGCCCGCCGGCACCAGCTCCTGCCGCAACTGCACCAGGGTGTGGTCCTCCTGGCGACAGGGTGGTACCGCGTGTTTTAATAAATAATAATAAAATTCATTTACAATGCAGTTGCTCATAAAGCGCTATTTTTTTAATCCATTGTACACACCGAAAGTGAGTCTTTAAACACGTGTTAAATAAAAATGTACTGAAATCCTTTACTGCACACGTGCTTAAAAGTATTTTTTTAATATTTTTTGGCCGAGCACCAAAGAAATTTTTAAAAAAAATGATAAAAATATGTCAAACTTTAGAGGCAAAAGTATTTCAAGGAGCCTAGAATGACACGAAAACATGTTCAAATATCACGTTTAATTTTAACAAATATTTTTTACCTTTAATACATACTTAGGTTTATTAACCTATATATTTGTTTATTTCCTCGCAAAAAGCATTAAAAATGGTGTAAGAAACTTGAGCGTAAGAGGTTTTTCGAATTCGTGCCAATTGAAACCCTTGCTACGCTCATGTTTTCAATTTGGCCCTTATTCGTAAAACCTTACTTTCCGCATTCGTATTTTAAATAACTATTATTTCGAGTAACTAGGCCCATATGAGGCAATATCACATTTTACATTTCAATGCGAGCACTTCATAATAATAATAATCTTCGATAAAATTAATTATATGTACAAACTATGATCTGCAGACTTTGAAAGCTGTGTTTATTATTGTAATACATATTATTTTGGTATTGACATGATTTTGTTAATGTCGTTACTTATGATAAAGAGCTGGTAAGTTTCTTTCACTTGTTCTTCTTTTCAGTCAAAAGACATCTTGAACAAGTGGTAGGGGAAAAAAATATTAGACGATTGAAAAGTGCTTGTAAAAGCTTACTTGGATAAAGATATTTTCATTTCATTAATTTAGCAATTGCGATGTTATACTGATTTTTTTTTTCATTAAGTATATTTTATATATTTATTTTAATGCATTTTTGTTATTTGAATTTTTAATCCCTTGATTATTATATATGACAATAATTTATATTTTTATTTGTATATATTATGTATAAATATTTATTGACTATTCTTTTATGTTATGTTTTAATGTCAGTTTGTATTTCATATGTTTAATAATTCAATTGAATAATTTTACTTTCTCTATCGCTTTCGGCTACAATTACAAGTGTAATGATAGTTATAAGTTATGAAATAAATAAATATAAAGTTGGAAAATTACATTTATAGTTAATTTACAAAATTGGTAACAACCTAAATTACGCCACTGTTGACGAAATAAGAACAGACATCATGTAATCCAGCGTACATCGCCCTAAAATCCCCATAGACATAATGCATGTTTTATTTTTGTAGATATAATTTAATTATGAACGAAATCAAAACTGAATGTTTGTGCGTGCCCGTGTGCGTGTGTGCGGGCGTCTGCGTGCTTACGTCCGTGTGCGTGCGATTTTTAGAATGTACTCATCGAGACCTTTAATGTAATGCTATTTGTTAGAGCAGATGTGTTAATATAGAAAAGTTCATATAGATGCAAGAACATTAATTTATGTATTATGCAGGAAAACAAATGACAGATAATAATTTAAATTTCTTTTATTTTTATTTCACCAATTTGGTAAAAAGAATACATATTTTTAAGAAAACGATGTTATGCAGTTGTTGGTAATTACACATAATAGATTTTTATATAATATGTTAGACCGACAGACATTGACGTCACGACAAAGCGCCCTTTAGTGTTCGTGGTTGTTACTTTATTTCCTCATTTATTTTTGTTCTTATACTTAAGCTTTTAAGCACCAATTATATATGTTTATATCTTTTACTATTACGTATTTAACGAAATAAATTATCATTATCACATAAATTATTTTAAATGTAAACAAAAAACCAGGCATGATACACGGGTAAGGTAAAGACATATGTACCCCCCACAAGGGATCTGGCATGAAGACATATATCTTGATCTGTGTTAGATGGATAAATATTAAAAAAAATACAAATTTATTGTCACTCACTTTCTCTTCAATGTTGAACGTGACTTCTGAGAAGTGCTGATCGGGCCACTGCTTGTATCGCCAATATTGAACTATCTTCTTTCCAGGTACCAGTTCTCTGAACTCTCCTGAAATGTTCCCTCCAAAGAGCACAAATTTTCCACCTTTCTCAGCCTCCATTTTTACATGTCCCTGAAAAAAATTTACAATACATTTGTAGTTTTCAACGGAAAGACAACACAATATATATTCCAGTTTTTTTTTTTACATAAAGATAATTAAAAAAATTAACAACAGGAGCTTAATGATACTTAGTTTAGTTAGCAGGTTCGGTCTGCGAAAGTTAAGTAACTTTGGCAAGATCTGATTATAAAATTCAAACAACTATATGACACCCACAATTTGCACTGGACCGTGAATGATCATAATGAGGGGGCATTAATAGGCTAATTATAATAATCCTGTAGTCCACATAGAAAATGGCAGATTGAAGTTGATGGCACCCTAGGCAAGTACCTAACTATCACAATTTTCTGTTGTTAGTTATATAACCATAATACCATGAAAAATATGTTGCGTTTAAGTTGTGCATTAGCATGTTTTATATGCCGCATCAGTAAGTTTCCTTTATAATTCACTGTTTATTAGATCAATGAACATCTTAAGTAATAAAGTGGTATACAGGTATACATTAGTTGTTTCAACTGCCCACCTGAGTTACAATAATAATAATAAATAACATACACAGATTCAAGATATTAAACAATCGAAACACACAAACACAACTTTTATTAGTTTTCTTAAATACAAACCTGTGTGAAAGCGGTGACCATTTCTATTCTTGTCAAAGCATCATAAAACTCTTGGGCTCTGCACTGAAACTTTTCTGACAATTCAATAGTTTTCGTATCTAGTTTCAAACCGACCGGTTGATTCTTATTAGAAACAATGGGCTCCATGTTAACTTTCTTATTAAAACCACTGGTTATTGTCGAAACATTGTCCGGTTTCACTTGTGCCTCTCCCTTCTTGGGTAGGATTAGTCCTTTTGAGTATTCTTCCTTGAGACTCCTGAGGTATTCTTTAAGCTGTTTTCGGATTTCATTACGGCCTACATTATGCATAAACGCTTTTACTCTTTGGGCTTCATCACCACTTCCTTTGATTGTCACTGTTATCTGTAATAAAGTGTGAATAAAAAAGTACAGCCAATAATGACAACTTAATATTTTATTCATATATTACTTAGAAGTAATAAAAAAATTCAAAGAAACCTCCAATTATGGGAATGGGAAATACACGAGAGCAGTGTTAAAATGATATAGCAAGCTAAATCAAAAGTGTCACAAACATAATAAAATTAAATTAACCACACCAGCACTGCCATCATTATGGTAAGTGTAATAATTCAAAATTTAGAAAATTGAAACTGTTCTTTTCATTGGTGTTTTTTCTTTTTTGTTGGCAGTAGTTTTGTTACTTTTGATATGATATAATTTTGGATTGTCAAAGAAAAAAACAAAACAAAAATTAATCTTTAATTGCAATTAGCTCAATAATGGCCAAACAGAGTTATTGCACTCTTCATAGGAACAGCAGAACTAGACACCAATAATATGTATACCGTGTATTATACATATCATTATTGGTATAAATAATAAAATTGGTGCAAAAATACAAATAATTCAGAAACTTATAAGCTATTAAATTGTTGAATATTCATTTTATGCTATTAAATATTTAAACTACTCAATAAAATGAAAATCATAAATTCATACTGATGATGTATCATAAATTCATAATTTAAAGCTTAAAACATATAAAGCAAAATGACAATAACAATAACAGAAGAAAATGGTTTCAACCTGGTCGTAAGTTAGACATCATTTTATAAGACTGAGTATTTCAATAAATATATTCTATTCCTATGAAATAGACCTGGTTAAGCATATTCAGTTGTTTTATTCATAATCATTCTCAGGTTAGGTAGGTATATCATGTGTATAGATCACCTTAAAATTGTAAAGATTATCCACTTTATAATGTCTCTTGTTGAATCTTGAACTATCACAGTTAAATATAAACTTTATCACATGAAAAAGAGCCAAGAGTCAGATCTCCATTGCAGATCAAATATTTATAAGCCAATTTAAAATTTTAAACTAAAGGGAATGAGGTAAAAGAAATGGTTTCAGCTTCTAATTGGGTGTTTGGGTCCATGTTTTATGAAACAAGCTAGGATTACATTTGATCTTATAAGAAATAAAATCCCATTAAAAAGAGGTTATAAAGATAAATGCTTACATCAACTTCACTGATGTCATTTTCTTCAGACAGATTGGGTATGTGCACTTCCCCTTTGATTTTATCTGCTGCACCAGCCAATAAGCCTTCCCACTTCAACTTGATGTCCCATTCATAGAAAAATATTAGCTTGCCTTTCCTGTTGTTAGCTGATGCATCTCCTTCGAGCTTCTCTACCTCAATTATTTTACAATCGATACCATTTTGAGCTATTTTTAAATTAGTCAACAGTTCCTTGAGACGATCTTTCGACCACGGACCCGCATTTTTTTCCGTCCAATGCCAGTTATTCACATTAGTAGCATCTGGCCGTTCTTCTACAATCCACCGAGGGTCACCTTCTCCCCATTTAGCCATGTTTTAAAAATCACGACCACGATAAAATCACCAGACGTAACGATATCGGGCAAATACAGCACTCAATCACAAATTCTGCTGTCACTATAAACAGTTCGGCTTCACAAAAGTCACAATTCACTCGATCAGCTTGAAATTGTTACTTCAGACAAGTTTTTCGAGAAACGTCGCACTACACCACATTAAAACCACCGCACCATAAGATTGCCAAAGGAACCAAAACCAGCATGCAAAATGAATGTCAGTTTTAGGGTGGCAATATTATGATTTTCATTACCCTAGTGCATTCAAATTATTTCAGATTATTCAATAATAGTATTTTTATCCAACCCGTGAGAATATAATATCTTTCCGCCTAACAAGTAAGACAGACTTTAGAAAATACAATGTTTTTTTTATTGCCGACTGTAATTTATATGTCAATTGCCTGATAAAAATAAATCAAACATGCCTTCTCAAACCAACCAGCTACTTATTTCAGTATTATGAAATCACTCCTGTTTAAATGCTTTATATATCGTTTTATCGGCGATATTATAATATTTTCTGATGAGTTAATTTAAAACACTCAATTTCAACTGTAGGACAGTTAACCAATTTATCAATTGTTAATAGTTGTTATAATAACTAATAATCGATATTATGTAATCGTGAAACTTGATCTACCTGACGGATGGACAAACAAAACTAGTCATCATCACTATTGGTCATTCGCTACCTATATTTCATAAAAAAAAATATAACTTTTTTTAATGTTATTTGATTTTAATTAAAACTAAAAAATAAAGATTACGGTGTGTAGTATAACACCAGCTAGAGCATGAGTGAGTAGTCCTCGTTTTTTGGCAATATACAGTATCGTAATTCAAGTATTGTTTAATGTATAAAAAAAAATACTAATTGCATTGTAACTACTTTTTTAGTCAATTAATAAACTCCCAACACTAGAAAATATCCATATTATAGGCGAAATTTTTCTTAGCTGGCAGTGCTAAAGTAGTTTCTGTACGTTTCTAGAAATCAGTACTACCAACTGATATCGTTAAACATGCTTATGTCAAAACGTTTCGTTTTACGAATTTATAAATCTTAAGAATAATTAAAATCATAAAAGAAAGTACGATTAGGTATGTAACCTAATAAAATAAAAGGAATAAAACTAAAGCAATATCATTCTTCTTTTATAAGCCCCTCCTAAGATTAATAATTATTGGTGTTAATAATCTATTTTATTCTTTTGTTTATTTGTGAAAACTTGTAATTGGTGTTATTGAGTTTATATAGCTTTATATTTCTTCATCAGCTGTCAGTTTTCCAAAAATTGAAAAACAAAATAAAGTAAAATAAGCACCCTTATATCTATCTAAACACGCAGCATTTACTGACTGCCATAGGAAAATGCTCAGTAAAACTATTTTAAGCGCTAATTTTTACTTTCTACTCAGTATTTTATAACTTAAAATTGAAATTGTCTATGTGTTGTTTTTTATTTAATACAAGCTTTTGCCCGCGACTTCGTCCGCGTGGTAAAGTTACTTTGAGCAGCATTTCTAACGAATATTTATTCATTATACCGTGTAAAATACCTGAAATAAAGTTGCATCCCCTTAAGGATGGAATTTATCAAAATCCTTTCTTAAGGGATACCTACGTCATAGTAGCTTTATGCATGCAAAGTCTCAGCCCGATCGGTTTAAAACTGACAAAATTTCATACAAACTTTCATCCCCTATTCTATCCGCTTGGGGGTAGAATTGATCAAAATCCTTGCTTACACAATTATTTATTTCTGTTGCCGTTATAACAGGAAATACTAAAATATACGATAAAAGAAATATTTAAGAGGACACCGATACAACAAACGTGTTTTTTTCTCTATTAAATCCTAAAAAATAGAATAATGTAAATATTTAGGGGGGTTTCCTTACAATAAATGTGATTCTTTTGCTGTCACCAGACTATCATATGAACCGTGATATTTAGACAGTTCAAATATACACATTTAATGCATTTCTGTTTTTACTTTAACAATATATACCTACAAAAAAAATTAAGGGACCTTCCATATGACAAACGTGATTTTTTTTGCTGTAAAAAAATCACCATTGTCATATAGGTCGTATAATAGGCTGTATGTCATGAACTGTGACAATTAAACAGTTAAAATTTTTGCAGATGTATTTCTGTTACCGCTATAAGAACAAATACTAAAAAACAGAATAAAATAAATAGTTGATGGGGCTGCCATATAATACAACTTTTTTTCATGAGATAGCTACAACATTTGGAATTTTGTTTTATTGAAACAATAAATTCCAGATGCTGATATCCCAGGCTCTGTATCAAGCTTTTAGACTGCAGTAAATGTTGAAGTCAGCACGCGTAGCATGACGAACTCAGAACGTTTTGTCTACACTCAAATGTCGAGAAACTGACAAATGAGTGTAGACAAAGCGTTTCTCGAGTTTATCATGCTACGCGTGCTGATTTGTCAGTTTCTCTGGTCGAGAGTGAGATATCGTATGGACGCACCCGAGATAAGTGACATTTGAGTGTAGACAAAACGTTCTCGCGTTCGTCATGCTACGCGTGCTGCGTAGACAAAGCGTTTCTCAAGTTCGTCGTGCTACGCGTGCTGGTGCAACGCTTCCGCCGAAGCCACGATCTTCAGCACTGACGGGAGGAGGAAAACAATCAAATCTAAATATATAAAAATCTATTGCTTTTGCGAGACTAACGAACAGTCTCGCAAAAACTCGCCTATTTAGGTACCTAACTGATTTTGGTTTTGAAATATTTGTAGTCCAGAAGAGAAATTGTAAAATTTTAGATTTCTACATCTTCCGTGGTCTCATATCCTTTAGAAATTCAATCAAATACCTATTTTTATCATATCCCTCTGACACAGTTTCACTTGCTTCGTGCTTCATAATGATTTTCACATCCATTATTATAAATTCAATTCAATGAGTGTAATTTAACGATTGTATAATAACCGGCAGTATAAATTATCACCCAAGGTTCTTTATCTCAACGCGAGTGAGATAACCAAATATAACGTCCTTCATGAATCGATGTTGAATTGAAACCGGTCTTTAGACTTAGCACGGCCGGATCGTGGCGCAGACGCATTGACCGCGTGCGTTCGCATTCCAAATAGAAATCGTATAACAATGTTCCCATTACGGCGTGTTGGCAGTAAGGTGTGTCGTGTTATGCAAATTTGGAATTAAAAAAAAAGAAAACAAAATGTTCATATACCACGTACAACAGTTTTCCCGCGGTTTTCCAGATTTTGGAGCAATGGCGGACTCCAATAGCTTCTGGTGCTATTTCTCAAAGAAAATGTTACAGTTCCGATGTGGCTACGCCTCCTCCTCTAACTCTGCTGACTGACGATGAGCTCGCCATGAAGGAGACAAGTAAATACCTCACTCTATTTTCATATTTTTATTAATATTATAAAGAGGAAGGTACACGTTTGTGTTTCTTTCACATTACGAAGCGCCGATAAATAAGGTTTACTTTTTAACTGGTTTTATGCATAGAAATAACATAATAAAGTGTGATTAAAAATCAAATAAACTACATTATTTAAATTTAAAAAGTAATATAATCAAAGTAAATTTAAAAATTAACTCGATAGATAAAAACCGGTCAAGTGCGAGTCGGACTCGCGCACCTAGGGTTCCGTACAAATCATGGTTTTCGAAATTTTTCCTTTATATATGATTTAAGACATTGCTTCATGCTAAATTTCAAGATTCTAGGTCAACTGGAAGTACCTATCTACCCTTTAGATTTTGATTCCTTTGCGAGTAGTTGCGAGTTTGAAAGCCGCATGCTTATTACTGTCTCTTTTGATTGCGTTGATTTTATTACAGATTAAAGGTAATATAGACCTGAGTATTTGATATGAGATTTAATTTAATTCCTCTACGCGTTCATGAGGAAAGCGGTAGTTACTTTACAATTATTAAAAATATTTTTATTATACTATGATGTACCTAAAAACTTAGAATATTCGCAATTTTTCCTTTATCTGTGCTATTAGATGTTGCTTTGTAATAATTTCAAGATTCTGAGTTCACGGAAAGTACCCTGTAGGTTTGAATCCCTTCCGAGATTCAAGCGGCATAAACAGATAAATCTCTTGATTTCGGTGACTTAGTAATTTAATTTTTTCATAGTTCCAAGGGACATTAGACCTGAGTAATTGATATAAATCACAGCTCGATACCTTCACCCGTTTATGAGGAATAGGGTTTTGACAGACGACAGATCGAGGTACGGAATCCTAAAAATCACATAGTTACATTGTGAAAAATATTGGAAATGGAATGCTTAAATGGTTCGGTCACATTAAAAGCACGGGTGCACATAATGCAATTCAATTAACGAAACAGATATGTATATAAGATGAGTGTGACGAATATTGTAAAATAAAAAGCTCTAGACGAACGTGAGAGGTGAGACAGAATGGTGCAAAATGAAACGACGTGATTCCTGTCTACATCTTTGGAAAAGAGATGTGAGATTATGGACAGATATTTTAACAAACATTGCTTGTTTATTACAAATGTTCTTATCACTTGTGCTCGTGTAACGTCACATCAGTTGGTTGACACAATAGATACGCACTAATTTGTTACATAAAAACAACGTCTAATTTCATTACATATGTACCAAATATATTTAGGACTTTAAACTACTTTATAATAACTACTTTGGGGCTATAAATTACCCCCCCCCCCCCCCTAAAGTGTCCTAAAGTGTGACGTTATTTATGGATGATCCCTTTTAAACGCTTTTGCCGTGTCTAGTGCACACGGAACCTGTAAAGGCACCGAAATGTCTGAAAAATGAAATAATTTTAGATAAGTCTTTCTAAAACGTTGGGGGTGTGGTTATTGCAAATAAAGATATTATTATTATTATTCCTTTAATAATAATAATACTTTAATAATAATTATAATAATAATAATGTCTGGCCTCCTCTGCCGGGGGGAATCCTCCCCCCCCTCGAATCGTCGAGGGGTCGGGAAGAGTAAATTATAAATATATTTAAATAATAATAATAATTATTATTATTATTATTAAAGTCGTTTTTCGATTTAGTAAATCGTCTGTGACTTATTAAGCTTTAAGAGCTAATTTTCGTTAGAATCAAGTATTCCCCCTCTACCAACTAAACGGTACTTGCTAGAAATTCAAACGTTAAAGCAGTAGTACCTACATATAACTAAGTTAAAAGAAAAACTTTCACACTTAAGTTGACTTTACATGTTTACAAGGAATAATCGAAAAATTGATATAACTCGAAAATTTCAAATAACTCCATAGAAAACAACAAACATGTTTTTTTAATGAGTAGTGCGCGTGAAAAGAAACTAGAAACTAAAATAAATTTAGATATAGAAATAGATGTATTTTGTAGAAAAACATTAGCCTTAAGTCCGCCTTTTTACCATATTCCATTGGTCAATAAAACTTAATACTTCGATAAACAAATTCGATTAACCGAACTAATGATATACTCATACATACACACTTCATCGCAGATGTACAAACAAATAGCCCATTTAACACACATGTATAGTTTATTTATCTACTGATAAGTAATGTTTTGTACAAGTTGTAGGTGTGTGTCAGACATATTAGGTAGTTACATAACAACAAATGAAAAATATCATCAAAGAAAAGATAAGAAAGACCCAATCTTATCTTATATCTTCTCAACAGATTCCGTGCGGGGTAGGTTTCCTTGACATTTGCAATTCTCTTCGTATACGCTGACCTTTTGTGAGAGAAAACGTGTTAAGGCGATATTTTACGAAATTACCATTTTCTGAATCAATTTTAAATATTGGCCAAGTAAATTATTTTATGATGAAATAGCAAAGATGACTCTCAATAGATATTTGGTTCGGTTTTACGACTAATGTTTTTCATCTTAACTATATAAAAAATATATACAAAAAAGATTTTTCATAAAATCTAAAACAATCGAAAGATATTTTTTATAACTGCATTATAGGCATGTGCGCCGATGCCGAAATCTTCGGCGGCGGCGTGGAGCTAAAAATTCAGTGGCGGCGGCGTAAACGGCGTCGTTATGTCAAATGATGGAAAATTAAGATTTAAATAATTCAGAATGCCTTTATTGACATAACAAATATAAAAGCTACTTAAACTAATAACACCTTTTAAGTAACAAATATGGCACAACTATACTCTTCAAAATTATGTAACGTAGTCATAATGATGTTAAACAACAATATGAAGGTAGTATTTTGTTCGATAACTTTTTGCCATCTTGTAGGTAGGAACATGATCCCATTGCTATAGAAATTTTGGGGTGTCTAATCAAGAAACCGCGTCAAGTGGTTTTGACAATACACGAGTGATGTTAACTGGACATTGCCTAAAAAGTTCTGTAGAGACCTAAACAGGTGGAAATCTGAAAGTGCAAGGTCAGGACTATACGGCAGATGTATTAACATCTTCCAGCCAAACTCTTAATTTATTTAAAAACCACTCCCTTTCTATTGATTAATTCTGGCCGCTTTCTCTCAACTTCTTGCTTTAATCTCATCAGTTATTCGCAGTAGAGTTCAGAATCGATGATGCTGCCTGACGGTAACAGCTCATAATGAATAATACCCTTCCAATCCCACCATACAAACAGCATCACCTTTTTGCCAGCTAATCCGGATTTCGCATTAGTCTAAAAAGCCTGACCGACCTTTGACCACGATTTTTTTCGCATGTTCTTGTCGTACGTGATCCAGTTTTTATCACCAGTTAGAAAAACAAATGAAAATCACACATTTTCTTAATTTGAATTCGAAATCTTCTTTAAAATTTGAACTTTTTAATAATACCGCAACCATATAGAAATGGTATAGCCAGAAAGATTTTATTACAACTTTATGCATACTATATACGAAAAGACTTTTTCCCCAACCTAATAGTTATTACGACGAAGCTGCGACTCCGCCTCCGACGATCACGCAGATCCAAATTAAAAAAGCTTGCGTCTCTCAACGTGGAAAGGCTGAAAGATCATGAGGTTAGGAAGGAGTATGCTGAAGCCCTGTCCGACAAACTACCGCCAGTTAACGATAGGGAAGATGTGAGTGAGGCTTGGAAGGCTTCGTCTTCTCGCATTTTAGAAGCCGCTTCGGTTACTTTAGGCGTAAGGAGCCGGCGTAATGAAGACTGGTTTGACGAGTACGATGAGGTTCTCAGGGCTGCATTCGATAAACATCGAGACCTCTTGCGGCAACATAGACGAGGAGGTGGAAGTAATAAGGTGGTCAAAGCGAGTGACCTCGAAATACGCAGGCTGTCTCGACAAATGAGAGACAAGTGGTGGCGGGATAGAGCTTGTCGCATGCAGTGGCTCGCTGACACTAATCAGTTTGGGGAATTTTATTGTGAGGTGCGTAAACTGACCGGTACGTGCCGTCGAGCGAAGGTGCCTCTGCGATCAACAGATGGCGGAAGGCTGCTGACGAGCAAACAGGACGTGCTATCACGTTGGGCAGAACACTTTAATTCCCTGCTTAACGTAGATCGGACAGCTGATCTACAACACATACAAGCAGTTTAATGCCCCAACTGCCTCTAGTTAACGAGCTGGACGAGCCGCTGTCATGTGGCGAGGTTGTTGCTGCCATCAGACAGCAGAAAAATGAGCGGGCAGTTGGCACTGATCTTATACCGGGGGAGCTGCTAAAGTACGGCGGTAACGAGTTGCATGCTCATATTTGGCACCTGTTTGTTCGCATGTAGGAGGAAGAGCGAGTCCCGGATGACTTTAAAGTGTCCCGCATCCAAGCTCTCTACAAGAACAAGGGTGACCGTTCTGACTGCGACTCCTACCGTGGCATTTCGCTTCTGTCAGTACCTGGAAAGACTTTTGCCAGCACACTGCTAAACCGCTTAACTGACTTGTCTGAAAAGATCCTGCCCGAGACACAATTCGGCTTCCGTCCTGACCGAGGAACCTGTGAAGCTATATTCTCTTTGCGCCAACTAAAAAGCAGAGAACAAGGTCGTCACCTATACCTCTGCTTTGTTGACCTAGAAAAGGCATTTGACAGTGTTCCTCGTGAAGCCTTGTGGTTAGTACTGGGTAAGCTGGGATGCACGAAGAAGTTTGTGAGATTTCTAAGACTCCTACACGATGACATGCAGTGCTGCGTCGCCGTAGACGGTGAACAGTCAGACTTCTTTCCCGTTACCTGTGGGGTGAAACAAGGATGCGTCCTAGCACCTACATTGTTTGCCTTGTACTTTGCGACGGTAGTCCGGGACAGTTTACGAGGGAGTCCGCATCCGCTTCCGCACTGATGGCGGTCTTTTCAATTTAGCCAGACTTAAGGCGCGCACTAAGGTATCACAAGCATTGATAACA